CATCCCTCCCATTTCACCCTCTTTCCCCCCCTCAATATCCCTCCTCCTCCTCCTCCTCCTCCTCTCTCCCTCTCCCCATCCACACACCCCATCCACAGCACATACACACCAACACCCCCACCCCCGCCTCGCGATGATCTGCCCCCGCAGCAGTGATTGGCCCCATTCTTCCGATGCGATGCGGAGTGCGATCGATTCCGATGTCGTCGCCCACGATGGGTGGGTATGTATGTACCTACTCTAGTGTTGGGCCCCCCCCCTTCCCTATTTTTGGGCCTGGGTCATATCTCACAATGGAGGGTTTGGAGGGAGAGCTTGAGATAGGCGGGGTTGCCGCCGGTGTGTGTGGTGGTGTGGTGTGGCTGTGGGTGTGAGTGTGTGGTGCGGTGGTAATGATAGGGTGGGTTGGAAAATGGACATGGTATGTATTGTATTGTATTGTAGAGAGAGGTTGTTAGCCCAATAGCACCTACTCTTGAAGAGCAAGACAACAGTAGGTAGGGGGTGTCCAGAGTGAAAAATAGGTACTTTGAAACACACGGTTTAGTAGCAGTAGTAGCGGTAGTAGTAGGAGTAATAGTAGTCATAGGTAAGTAAAAAAAAAGTAGAGGTAGAGGCAGAAGAAAATGAAACACCACGAAAAAAGAATGAAAAAACCCAAACGCCAACTAATACTGAGACCCGCGCGCCCTCCCTTTCCCTGACAGTTATTTTTGCTGCCACTACTAGTACTACAGTACAACAAACAACAAGCCACACAACTAACTCCTACTGTAAAAACCGCACCGCCCGATATTTTTCATAACCAAACAGAGGCCGCCAGCCAGCACATTAACGAAATGAAAGAGAGAAAGAAAAAAAGTGAAGTCTCTCAGTTCTGTACAACCCATCCGATTCTACCTGGACTTCCATGCTACTTTCAAAAAAAAAAAAAAAGAATAAAAACTTAAAACAAGAATAAAAGAAAAAAAACGAACGTTAAAAAGAAAAAAACCCATATATAAAAATGCTATGCAATCATCGTTCCAGTCTCGCCAGTGACCTCAGAACCTCCATCAGCGGCAGCTTCCCCGTGCCCGCCTCAACCCTAACCTTAGCCTCCCTCACCGCTAGCGCCGCCTCCGCATCCTCCAGGATGCGGCCCGCCAGCCTATCCGCCGCCTTGCCATAGTGGTCCAGTTTATGGATCCCATCGGCCAACTGGTCGACCTGGAACTCAATCTCGCCGCTGTGCTGCTTGACGAGGCTCCTTGCCTCCGCCAGCAGGTCCTGGGAGCGCGACGAGGACGCGAATGCCGACTCTGACGGCTGCAAGAGCTTATTCATATCGGGCCCGCCGGCAAGAGAGAGCGTTGCTTTGACATCGGTCTTGAGCAGCGACCTCCATGTTGCTTTTTCGGCTAAAAGTCTGGAGATGGTTAGCGGTTGTCAATGATCAATATGACAGGAAAATGTGGTGACCTACTTTTTTAGGCTGGCTTCGATGGCTTCAACCTTGGCAAGGTTGTCAATGTTGCGGGGATTCGGTTTTTTGATTACTGTAGAAGGTTGAGAATCTTCCTGCATGGGACTGTCAGCTCCAAACTTAACTACTTGCTGGATCTGTGGCTGCCTGAGTGCATAAGGCTGAAGCTGAAAATGTGGGGGTGGATGTACTTACCCTATTGAACCAGCTTGAGAGTCCGGGGTTTGATAGGACGTCTGATAATACTTCTTCTTCGATTATTCGTGCTATAAAGATAGACAGTAGTCAGCACTTGTATACAAAGCTAGTGTTTTTGACATTTCGAGGCCAATGATAATCAGAAGGCGCCCGGAATCTCGACTATGTTGCTAAATCTATAATACCGGGCCTTCTGATATTTCTCAGTAATCAAGCCGCTATTATAAATTCGCCATAATTCAAGTCCGGAAGCACCTTTCCGGTGTATTGGAGAGCTTTAGCTGTTCGGTCACGCGGCCAAAAGTTGGGAATTTGGACAACGAATCCAACAACTTTTGCGCTGCACGAATCTGCACATCAGATTCCGTGTCACGAATAACTGTCTAGCTTAGACAGCTAAAACCCTCCAATATCCCAAATGCGGGGCTATATTCCGGAGGAGGGGGGAATAATCAGAACAGAGTAAGAAGAGTTCCGGTGAAGCCGCCGAACCCTATCTCAAAGCCTAGCTTTCGTCTGATATCCCATCACTCCTCCTAATTACCCCCCGGCTCCTCCGGCCCGATCTAGTCGTCATCATCCCCACAAATTTCAAAAAAAAAAAAAAAATACCTACCAACAGCCGCCGCAGTAGCGTCCCCCACTTTCCCATCTTTCGGCGTGAGCGCTTTTCGTCCACACCACGCCAGTAGTTGCTTCATCCTCTGTGGTTCCAGAAGCTCGTCGTGAATGTGCTTATAGTATTCCTCGTGCGCAATTGACGGATGCGGTTCAGCTAGAATCACCCCGTAATCAGCCACTTCACCATGTCCCCACTAAGAGTCACCCAAAAACATACCGAGAACCCCCGTATCCATCAGCGAGCTTGCCCTCCGTCCTCTGAGTCCAACACTACTCCTGCGGTTCCCCCCACCCTGCCCACCCTTCCGCATCTGCTGATTTCGCCTGATAATCGGCGTATCCGATACTGGTAGCGCCATCTTTGTGCTACCGCCACCGGGCGGTATTCGCGGCGGCGGCGACATGGGTATGGGTGCGGGTGCTATGGCGACAGGAACCTTGGATTTCGCCGCTGCCTTGGTTTTGGCGGCCGCCTTCTTTGGCGCCTTCTTTTCCTTTACCTCCTCCTCTTCCGCATTGGCCAAGGAGATCTTCTTCCGAGTCTTTACCTCCGATTCCTCGATCGGCGGAGGTGAGTCGTGGGCGCGCTTCCGGGAAGTGGTGGTGGGTTTCTTCTTCTTGGGGGGTTCGACAGCGACAGGCGGCGGCGGAGCGGTGGGCAGGACGACCTCATTAGCTGCAAGACTGGCGCGGGTGCGTGGTCGGGGGCGGAAGATGAAGCCTTCGTCTTCGAGAATGTCGGGTTTGGTGCGCTTTTGCTTCTGTGTAGGTGGTTTGTTAGTATTTAAATCAACCTTGAATTAGGGCGCTGGTCTATCCTGTTGCGGTTCTGCGATCCTAGATATCTATTCCCAAGCCGGCGAAGGAAGAAAAAAAACAAAAAAACACCCCCGTATATCATAATACCCCCAAACAGAAGAAGAAGCAAACCGCCCACCAATCGCCCAGAGAACAAAGAAAAAACAAAACCAACCTTCTTCGGCGGCTTCTCCTTCACCTCCCCCTTATCCCCGCCATCCTCCTCCTTCTCCGCCGCCGCCTTCTTTCCCTTCTTAGTCTTTTTTTTCAGCGGCTCCACCGGCGTATTCTCCTTCTCCTTCCCATTCACCCCGCCATTGATCCCATTGCTGCTGTTGTTGTCATCGTCCAGTCCCGCGGCGGCGCTTTTCCGCTTCGGCCGTGTGCTGGTCGGCATTACTGTCAGTGTTTGTAGCGGCCGTGTCGCGGTCGCGTGTACGGGCATGAAAGTCAACGTCAAACTCAATTCCGGCGCAGATCCGTAGGGGTATAGTAGTGGCACCGTCGAATTGGTGCCCTTTGCTGGGTGGGACAGTAGGGAGGGAGGTTATCGACACCTGTTGTGTTTGGGGGGGGGGGGGGTGAGGGTGAGCGCGTGTAAGTGCTGTCGTTTGTTATGGAGCTAGCTGACTGGGCAATGATGATGATGGTGATACGATAGTGCACTCGTCCAACTAATTGCCCGTAGTAGTGGTGGTGGTGGTGGTGGTGGCAATGAATGTCTGTATTAGTGCTAGTGGTGACCTGATATCGTAAGGGGTGTTCGTGATATGCTGGCCGGCGGGCAGGCGGTGGCCCGGGGTGGGTGTGGGTGTGGGTGTGGGGAGAGTAGAGAGGGGAGTAGAGAGGGAGAGGGAGAGGGAGTGATGACGGGTGATGGAGGAAAAGACGGGTGGCTGGATGGATGGGGCGACAGATGTCGGTCCACAGACGATGGATGGTTGTTGTGTGGTTGTGGTTGGGCTGTCTGTCTGTCTGTCTGGCTGGCTCGGGGTGTCGCGTTGTTGCTGCCCTGCGCTTCTGCTTGTTTTGATCAAACTCAACAACGACGGTCCACATGCGTCTTGGCGTGTCAACCACAACGCAGGAAGGGAAGGAAGGGAAGGAAGGGAAGGAAGAAGGCTTGTTTACGCTGGTGTGCGTGGATCTCATCACGGCCCTTGCATTCCACAGCTCAACGTCAAGGTTCACCAATCACATCGATCGCTGACAGGAACAGAAAGCAGTTGTAGTCTTGCATGCAGAAACAATATTGTAGAGTGGTAATAATAGTGTGATAATAGCTACATAACTACACGGTGGCTGTTCGTAAACGAATACTCGTCGCCTTCGTCCCCCTTATTCGTCTCGTTACATGATGAAATACATATCTCTTACTACCTACCCATCCTTCCCCATCTCTTCCTCTTCCCCATCTCTTCCTCTTCCTATCCATTTCCCTCTTCCCCGGCTGTCTCTCGTCGTCTTGCCTTTCTTCGATATCTCAATGCCTGCCTGCTTGCTTGCTTGTTGAAAATGCCACCCTTCACAACCTCACACCCGCATACAAACAACAAAAAAAATACCAAACTGAACAAAAAAAACACACCGCTCCCGCTGCTGTAGACCTAGCTTCCATGTTGAATAAAAAAACCTTTGTCACCCATATGTATATGGGCCAACAGTTGTGCCGAACCCGAAACTGAAAGAGAAAAAAGTAAACTAAAAATAACAACAAGCTAAAATAAAGGATAGAGAAAGAGAAAGAAAAAAAAGAAGAGATTACAATTCTGTCCCAAACAGCTCCCCGCCAAACTTGTCACAACAGCGCAGAACGGCCTTTTTTTTAGATCTCTCCCCCCCAAAATGATGTCTTGTTTGACAAAAAGACGCCTTCTAAATCGTAAAAATCCATAAACCCACTTTTTGGTATTGATAGTCATGTAGATCTACTTGGTAGTCATGTCAATACATGAGGGACGTGTAGGCAGGATTTTACGATTGCGTACCTAAACAGCTTACGGGGCAAGGCTGCCTTCGATCCTCCTGCGAGCCTCCATCTTCTCTTCCTGGCTCACATTTTCTTTCCGCATGGTTACAGCACCTGTTTCTGGTGTGTGGCCAATACTCATTCCTACACGGATCAAAGTCTCCAGCGCGGTCCTCGAGTTATCAACAAGGTCCTCATCGAAAACCATCCTGCCAGGTTCAAATAGACAGACGATGGTACTGCCACCAAACTGGAAATAGCCCAGCTCGTCTGTACGCTTGACCTGTGATCCCGCCTTGGCTGTGATGACTGTGCTACCAACCATCATGGCTCCAACACAGATGACCATCACCCTGCCGTGTTCTGCAGAATCTATAGGGACACAGATACGGACGTTTTCACCATACACATCAAGTCTATCAAAATCAGCGCTGGCTTCACCCCCCACGTTGAATCAAAGAGAACTTACGCAGATCGAATAGCCATTGGGTTGACGGTATAATACTCTCCCTTTATCAACTTGGGCTCACCCATGAGCCCATCAACGGGAATGTGAAATCTATGATAATCTTGTGGCGCCAATCTAAAAATACCTAGTGCGCCCCCAGCGAACCGTTTGGCATCTTCCGGATAGGCATCACCGAGAAGCCTCTTGATTGTGAATTCTCGGCCCTTAATCCATATTGTTGCTGCTTCATCGATAGTGTTGAATACTACTGATCTGCAATCTGCCGGGGAGACAATAACCCTTTGATCCTCTGGTGAGGCGCAAGGGCGTGCATCAGGCTTAAGAGCACGGTAGAAAAATTCGTTGAATCTACGATTTCAATTAGCACAAATTCCTTGAAAGTTTTCTAAAACCGGGTATACTCACGTCTTGAACTGATCTATTGGTAGAAGAACCTCAGAAAGATCGAGCTGATGGAAAGCAATAAATCCCTTGATATCCCTGGCGGAAGCAGGGTTATCAAACTTCTTTCCTTGTTTGACACTAAGTGATTTTAACAGTTTTTTGACTGTAGATGTTAGCTTTCTGACCCGATGTAGCACTTAATCTTGGGGTGATATACTCTTCTTATTCTCCATGCTGCTGCTGCTGAGCCCTTTATAAAGCAATCGAATACCCAGACGAACGTAAACACTCATACGTTCTTCCTGGATCTGCCCTGTAATCCTGTCCTGGACCAAGATATTGGCCGAGTTCGCGCCCAACTTGTAGCCTCCGTAGGATATCTTTGAGATAACCTTGGAGTACCATTTGCGTTGAGCCTGACTAGATGTCACAAACCCCCCCATCACAAGCTTATCTACCTGTCTCCAATCTTGTGATGCACATGTCGCCAAGTGCGTCACGATATCCTGTTCCGACCTTTTATTGAGGCGGGGCTGATGGCACAGTGGGCACTCTTTGATCTGAATAACATGCTCCTCTGCCTTCTCATCCGCAAGATCATTTTCACCAAGCATCATACCCTCCTCTCCCGCAGCACCAAGGACATTGATATTCTGTGTTGGCGGCAAAGATACCATGCTTCTACTCCTCGGGTCGGCCGGAGTGTTTGAGCTGGTGCTGTCGTCCGACTTCTGAGACCTGTCATCCCTTCCCGAATCATCCCTTCCAGACGCGGAGGGGGTATGGCTCGGTGTCTTCGGTGTGGTTGACGAAAGCTGGTTCTCTAGACAGATAACTGCCTGATCAAGAGTCAATTCCACATCTTCCAAGTTCGTAACCCCGTTCTCCTCTCTAAATCTCTCGAAAAACCCATCAATGGTATGGGCCGACAGTGTGGACCCCAGAGTGTCAAGCATAGTGGTAAGTTCCACACGGCTGATTTCACCACTGTCATCTGCATCATACTGCCTGAGCATGACTCGCCAGAACTGCTGCCGGAGTGCAGGGTACGGAACATATTTAGCCTTAATCTTGATTTCAGGATTGTGTTTGTCTTCCCATCGATCTTTATTTTTAAGTGGAAGAGGCAATGTGTACGGCTGTAAATCATAATCCATAGAATCATTGTTTACTTGTATCATCCTATTCCCTGGTGGGGTAGGACCATTCTCATCACCAGGAGTTAAAGCCCCGTCAGATTGGAAAGCGCTTGCCACGCTTCTCAGTGAGTTTGCAGATGTTCTCCGCTCAAGGTCTGGTCGGCCCTTTTTTCCAGCAGAGAGATTCGTTCCGGAAGACGACCTAGGTAGTGGTATACGGAAACGAGATTTCCCAGTACCAGACGGAGTCATGGGAGAAGGTGGAACTTCATCTTTCAATGGCTCTCGAAGATTATATAGCCCAGTTACTGGGTCGGCGGTGGGCTGTGTGGAGATAATCTCCTGTAGCGCAAAGTTTGTCTGTGCTACAAAGTCATTTGATGAGAACTTATCGCGGTCTACGACTGCAATATTCAAAGAATATCTCTGCTCATGCCGTAGAACTTGAAACACCATTTTCTCGTCATATACGGGATTCAAACAGTGTCGAATATGCCTGGTACGGTATGTTTTCTTTCCCAGCGAGACAACAACAAAAGGGTCCATATCGAAACCGGTACGTGTCACTATTCCGCGTTAGCAAGCCATAATTTGTTAGCATGCACACCATGAAAGTCCAACTTACTGTTCTTTTCAGGTGGCAAGTCTGTGATAGAGTTGATCTCTAGAAAAACAACCCCAACAACATCTGACTCCCTGGATAACTCATAATGATGGCCCTTCTTGTCGCCACCTGTCTTGCCCTTCATCGTTGAAGGAGTGATCGAGGGAGCAATCGAGAGTGTCATTGAGACTGAAGTTCCTATCCTATCAAATTTAGGACGACCTAGGGCTCCATCTGGTTCCATCATATCTTCTTCGTCGTCAGAAAGACCAGTATCACCCAGATCCCGCGAAAGAGGGTCATCCTGTTCATAGATACTGGGAGAGGCGCTCGGACTCGGGGTTCCGTTGAAATTGCTGAGCCATGTCGTCCATTTCTGCATGATTTGCTCGGGGGTTGCAGCATCATCAGACGTGTCCAGAAGACAGAGTTGAAGTTGTATCTCCCCGGAAATTGTGGCCTTTTTGCGGCTAGACTTCAATGGGAACCATCGGGGCTGAAAGAAGAGTTGTTGGGTTAGCAGGGGCCCCAACATAAGGATAATTAAGGTGCTGACTGACCTCTTGGCTGGTTCGTCCATTTGAGAAAAACTCATCGAGATGAACTGTGAGCTCGCCCATGTAGTCCTATATTTCTCTCTTCACATGTCAGAAACTAGGAATTGCTCTACTGCATCATCGTTCGCCCCTTTCCCCGATCCGAAAACCATCCTCTAGGTACATGGGTAAATCCAAACCTTTCCAAACCGGTCCTTGTCCCAACAAACGCATTCCAACGTAGATGAGTTGGCTCCGCTGAGCGGTATTTCAAAGTTGTCGAACCATTCAGGGTCGAGGGTCTTGGGCATCGCTTCCGTCTGGAAGCGATACTCACCTAACGATACGACAAGATACTGATGGCGATTAAAAGAGTCAGCTTGCGGGTGGTGGTAAATGGTGGGGCGTAGCGAATGAAGATGACTTACGGGATCGCTGAAGCCATTCTTATCCTTCGGAGCTAGATCTCGACCCTGCACGATGTACTAAAGTCAGTAGTTGAACCCTTCAATTTTCTACCCGATCTGGTTTTGGATCCATACTCTGAGTACAGTGGCCTTAAGGACGAGGGAGCTTTCGTTCATGAGTTTCGGTGACCCTGATCGGCTCGGTACTGGAGATGTAGGTTTGGAGGTTGTCTTCTTTCGAGTTGGGAAGGGAAGATTAAGGAGCACCATCTTGCCAAAATCTGTGCCCGATTTTGTTTGAGGGGAAGGTACAAACAAAAAACGTAAAACCTGATTGTGCGCGAGCCGAGGAGCAGCTCAAGGCTGATTTGCTGGCCGGGTAGTGTACAGCAGTAGCAGTACCGGATGCACAACTCACAGAAGAATCCACTTAAAGTATTGAAGTTGGATTGAATGTGATCGAGACGTGCAGGCACACAATATCGTGTATTTCCTTTCTTACTTTTCTTTTTTTCTCTTTCTTTTCTTCTTCTACCACAGGTATTCGTCTGTTCAACAGGTGAATAAATGAATGATAGAAGGGCAACAAGAAGAGGATGGTGAAGCTGGAACTTCTTCACCTAGACTGAGTTATTGTAAGACTTGGGGGTGTGCGAGGGTGGTAACAGCAGAAAGAGCAAGCGTGTTTAGGTGCTTGTCCAACTTGCTGAGATCATAGCAAGAGAATATATTCCCAAAATATGCCGTTTTAACTTCGTCAGACTCGCAGACGGCCAAGCTTAAGCCGCTTCCCCTTTCCCATAGTCTGACCAGGGGTGGAGGGGTCTACATAAGTACAGAACCTAGCTACTGGGGGTGTGAGGAAGAGGGGCATCGGAGTTTGGTGGTAGCAATATTACAACGATCACCAGTCAGAATATTCATAGCATCATCTTCTAAAGTCCAGTTGATCCAAACATGGGCCATGCGCGTTGGGCCATTTCAATCCTGCATAAGGGCACATTCAGCCCCAATCTCTCTCCACCAACAACACGAGATGCCATCGCGTGGTGATTGTAAGGTACATGGGCAATACACTGTCAGTGTTCCACTCAGGAATATCAATTTTTATATTGACAATAAACGTTCCACAACAACTCCGGAGCATTCTATCACATACTACCTCTTACACCTAACGCCCCTGTAGGAGGATGCGAAGAGAGAGCAGGCTTTTGAGGTCTTTACAAATGGATAAAGACCCGTTGTCGCGTACTGCTTAGATACCACTACTACAGCACCACTACGTTCCGTCTTCTCCGGCCTTTCCCCAGTCCCGGAAAGCGGAAAGCACGTTGACCGAGACAGAGACTCACCACCCACTTGCTCACATAACCCCCAGGTTTTCGAAGGTCTGAGGCTTTCCCGAGCCAAGATCTCCCGACTTTCTTGAGACTGTAACAAAACGGAAGGAATCATCGCCACTAGTTACCAGGGAATCACAAGAAGTCGCATCATCTATCATCATAATAAACAGCATCCTCTTAGAGTACTTTGGCTAACCCAGCTTCCTGAGATGGATGCTGCAAGATCATGAAGGGTTTATCAATTTCCGGCACAACCACAACCGACGTCACAGCCTAAAGGTGTGTGTATGATGCTCATTCCGAATCCTTCAGATACTACATGTACTTCCGTCCAATCTTTGAATACTTCGAGCCTGGTCCTTAAGCTTTTGGCCCTACTCTGAAAAAAAAAGTCGTCTTCTTTGCCGCGCAAGGAACGGAAAATACGGCATCAAGAAAAATTCATAAAATTACCAAATGGGCTTTCGAGGGTAGAATTAGTTGGCAACATAAACTCCCAACAGTCAAAGTTCTAATATTCGTGATATCTAAAGGTCGCCAACCTCTTTGTGCAGGTGCGGCTGATCCTGCGGTAGGCAGCGGTTATTTCTGTTTCTGGAAGATAAATCGAAACCTGCACCCTGTGCCTTACCTGCAACTTGTGGGTAGCACAAAATCGGAGTGGTTATGAATATGCCCGCAGTCACATTAATATCAATGGAAGCCCTTTTTCCCCAGGAAACAATGAATTGATCTACGCCGTTTAAATAACATCTTGCAGACCCATCAGGAACATCAGGAATCAACGCGGCCCTTAATTGTCACTGACCGGTTTATTCTATTTTGTGCGTCGCTCGGGGCTTGATACACTGTACGATCCCTGTTTCCCTTGTGTGACGCCGCTGAAATGTTATAGCGGGGTAAACATGGAACACCCCTCACAGCGCTTGTGGCTAAGCTCTAAAATGACGGATCACAAAATGTCCATACTTCCTATTTTGGTCGCAGTGAGGCTTAATCGTGCAGTAAAAAAAGGACACCAGAGCATCTTCAACACCGGACCGGGCTGACCAGGGGCACGCAGCACTACAGTTTTTATTTTTTTTGTTGAATTTGGTTACGTGAATGAAAAATAGAGAAGTGTCTCTAAATTTGGGGCCCACCATGCATGTGACACTGAGTTGTGGATAATCAATCAACCCCCCAGAGCTGTCACGTGCAATATTATAACTCTAGATTTCATCTCTGCCAACTGCATAACGAATCCCTAGAACTTCCTGAGCTCCTTTGGTCACAAATTAAAGTCTAATTGGCGTCTACTGCAAAGATTATCAAGATCTCACGGAAATCCCTAGTGCCAGATCCTACCCCTGGACCCTGAGCTTGATAGCTTGGCATATTCTTATTCTTGGCGCTGAGTATAAAATCTGATACTGTACCAGTCTGAGCCTCCAAAACCGGTTCCCTAGTTAAGGTTCTAAATCGAAAAGGATTTCAGAGGTGAAACGGCCTTGCGGCAGGGTAAGAGGCACAGATTCCAGTTTGACAGCTGTCCCGATCGCGAAGGTCGTGAGCAAGGGCGTTTGGGCCGGGTAACAACAATTTCAGCCCTGACCCTGAGGACCCTGGGGGTTTGAACGGCAGTCAGTGCCTGTGGTGTTTATGAATTATGGGCATTTACATACATATGCAGCCTGAGAGGTCGAGCTGGGGTTTATTCTGTAACACTAGCCAGATTCTAGGGGACATAATTCCTAGAGCTCAGAATATATCGATATTGAAAGCTTTATTAGGGCACTTTAAATGCCCTTAATCGCGCGTAACGATCGGTTAATTGACTAATATATACCACATCAATCAATCATGATCGAGTCGGAACACTGGTATGTAATATAATTTGAACATGGTTTTTAATGGTCGATGCTGATTTCCTTCAAAGGCACATTTAGAAATACATGTGGTAGCCAACTTATACTAGTATAATCATAAAATATGATTTCAGCCTTAGGATTTGGGGAACGATTACATGTCGTGATACTGAGGAGAGCTGAAGAGGGCTAAAGAATTCATTTTATCATACCAGGTGGTGAAGGCCTCGTGTATGAAACAGGGGCACTCATGGGTAGCCCTTAACAGCCTGTAAGCCGCATACTGTATTATTCAACTCGAAGTAAGATATGTTAAATAACAAATAGATTACTTTGATCTAAACATAGTGGTGCTCAGTGTCCACTAGAGACCAAGCTTCCAACGAAAACTTAGTAGACCGAGTGATATTTCATGATCAGTGATACCACCAAGAAAACCCAAGCCTCTTGGCCTATGATTACTTATCGATAACGCGTATATCGCACAAGGATAACTTTATGTAGCTCGCCGTTAGATCCAGTCTTAGGGTGAAAAAAAAGTTGCTGCGCCCATTATCTTGTCCTATGCTATGTTCGGGTGCATCGCCTCCACCACTATGGTCAAATACACACGTATCAAGCCGTGTGTCCCGGTAAACTTCAAGCGACGTCACTCTTGGGGATAAAAGGCTGGGTACGGAGACATACATCACTGAGAATGCGAGAAGTGTGACTCCAAGGGTTATCGATCATATTGAGTCTGGTGCGTCGTATGACTTGACACCCAGGTGCGTAACAACGCAGTTACTTCTCTGGTGCATACAGGTACAGCTCAGTGTGCATTATGGGGCATTGGTATGGAGAGTTGTGTAGTTCTTAAGGCTGGGTCAGATGAAACTATGACTTGGGTCTATGGAACTAGACTTGCGTTGGATCGGTGAGCAACAAAACAAAATATTACGAAATCTTCGGGCGCAATTTCTTCACGACAGGCCTAAATAGCGCGCCAATATAAGGCCCTTCATTCCGGACTCTTCCCGCCCAATAATGGCGTTGATATAATCCACCATTTAACTTGCGGCGATTTGATGATTGACAAATGGTTGAGGCTTAGGGAAATTCCACGGATAGAGATTTTAGGTATATATCTATAGATACTACATGATTTAGTCCCGTTAGCAGCTTGAAATCGATGCTAGTAGCCTTGCTATTTAACACTATCAAATACCCCGCATGCGCACGCGCACTAGGACACCGATGTGTTCCCTCAACATCCCCGCCTACAAGGAACGCCTATATGCCCGGATGGATGGCAAACCGACCTTAATCTTATAGTCAACGCTATAGAGGTCTTATGCTTTATGTTATATCTGCTGTGTGTATGCTTAGATACCTCTGGTATTTGTTCCTACTGACTTACACAGTACTGCATTTGTAATCGAGTGAGATTTCGTGAAACAAAGCAAAATTCCCGGGTAATTTTGTTTCTGATTTAATCTATTACTAGAGTGAGCCCAGGAAGAGCCACTTGGCTAACATAAATTTCATAATACATAACCTTTTTGCTACCATGACCTCCATTGTAAAGGTGGCTGTAACTTGAGTAAAAAAAAAACCGGTGTTATCGAGAAGAATAGGACCAATTACATGTACAGCGCCATGCCATAAGTCATGGGAAGGCGCGAGGTCGCAACGCCTGAACACAAAATCTTTCACCACCACCGATGGCGCCCAGAGACCATGTACCCCGCCAGACAGCTAGGAGGGAATGACCAGCCTCCCGGCTGTGGCAAAAGACCGGAGTCTTACAACTCTGGTTGGAGGAGAATAGGGTAGATGTTCTGGAGGACTGGCTTGCCTATTCCATCCCATTGAACATGTTTGGGTACACCTCAAGAAGCTTTACCATCAACAGTACCCCCATTTGGCATATGGTACTAGATCACCTTAAGTATTAAAGCCCCTCGTGGAGGAAGGTCTAATTCATTGCTGGGAACTGTTACCTGATGATTTATTTGGTAGCTTGTTGAGAGCATGCCTAGGAGAATAGAGCTGTTATAAAGGCAAGGGGTTGGTACACAAGATATTAAATGTCAAATTATTTTTATTTAGCTACTATTTAACAACTATACAAAAAACCAGCTCTCCAAAGGATCAATTGTGGTTGCTGGGTGGGTAGTCGTGGTGGCCCGGGAGGTTGCTACGCCGCGCCCCCCCATGATTTATGGCCTAGAACTATATATATATACTTCTAGTACACACTAGCAAATCCTAACATAGAAAGGTATAAATCCTATCGAAGGTTCTCGAGCTTTCCACTGCAGATATCCAAGTGAATGCCATCACGACCCTGCGCCTTTAATTGCCTCGGTGGCATAACTTCGAGGATATATATATATATAATGAGTGGTTCGCAATGCCTATGGCAAGCTTATCGAGGTCACTATGTAATCCTAAATCTGAACTGATAATGTTATAATTAGTTGGTTCGTGTACAGATGACCTTCTCCATAAAACATGTATTCTGGCTTTGAGCGACAACTTGTGTTGAGCGGTAACATCCCGTTCTTGAATTGACAGGAGGACATAGCCCGACTAGCCCGTTACTGCCGTCGGGTATCTATGAGGAACGCCTATTGGTACAGTTTTTCGTACAGTAGTCAGAAAGTTGAGTTTTTGAGAAAGCAATTGTACAACCGAATCGTATGAGGAGCACTTTAGCGGATATCCCACCAATTAATATGCAACAAACCCGAGACTATGATATTCGGATGACTTGTGGCTCGTCTGAACGTTAAGCTTCTCCATAGTTCGCAGGCAATCAAGCAGTCGACATGGTTTCCGGCTGCTGCATAGTCTTGTTCGGTGGTTTCTAGACATTTGGCGAGTGGAAGCCTGTATTATTTATCAACGGGGGTACTAAAACAAAGGAGGAAGAGACTCTTGACCTATGAATCACTAATTATATATTGTGTAGAGTAGTATAGTGTAGAGTGTTGGTATATTCAACCCCAACTTCTATAGATTAGAGAGGTTCCACACTGAGAAAAGTTGCTAATTGTACGAGCAGATAAATGTACTCATTCCTGTCCCTCACTTTTGAGCTGATCTTTATATTCTGCAGCGGGTAATAGTGAAGTAACTTCGTTACTACCTATAGTTTCTCTTGGTTCACTAAAAACATAGTGTAATACAATCACAAGTGGTGTATCACGGCGAAACTTGTGATATACAATAATTCCCTGTGAGATAAAGAATGGCATGATGCGAGTGAGACGATGAGGACAGAGCCTAAGCGCATGTTGATTGGTCGGACATACATTATCACTCGACGAAAATATGACAGGTGGCAATTGTTGACTTCGATACAAGAGTATTGCGAGTTTCTAAAATTAACCGGACGCTCTGTTGCAGCCACTCAAACCAAATAGGTCACAATCAAATACCTACCACCGAGCCCATATTAAAACCTAAGATAGTACAAGCATAGAGAATCACAGATATAACACCTCTTGGCTTTTCCAGCTGTGGTTGCGTTGTGGTGTTAAAGTTACATTCCCATTACAATATTTGGTTGTAACGCAGTGTCCGGTTAATTTTGAAAACTCGCAATACCTACATAGTCGAGCAATTCTCGAACAGAAAAAAAAAGATAAAAAAAGATCACGGTATTTCAAATATAAAGCATAGCGTTTAAAGTGCGTCTATAACGTTATTTAGGTCATCTCATTATTTATTTGGTAACTAAGGAAATTCTCAGTAATTGAGCAGTGGTCATGGATATTGATGTAAGTAAACGAGTAGGGGGGGTAAACGGTGAAAAGACATGAGTGTGAGAATATTCGGGCGGTGTATCACCTTTCCAACTATTGCACTCAATCTTGTTTTGCCAAAACCCTGATGAAATTCGTTCGCTTCATAACAAAAAAATAAAATGCTTTTGGAACCCGTTTATTTCAAATTTTTTTTTGATAGATCCCCGAACCCCCACCATACAAGAAACAAGAACAAGAACAAGAAAAGTACACAAGAAACAAAATTAAGCAGAGGCAATATCCTTCTTGAGGGTTCCCAAGAAAGCGTGCTTCTCCTCTTTGGTCTGGTACTGTCCGTGACCGAACTTGGATGAGGTGTCGATCCATTTGAGGTCGACCTTCTCGAGGGATCGGCGAGAAGTGTGGATGAACATGGATTTCCTGAGGGTCATGACTCTCTTCTTGACACCAGGGCATGAACCCTTGATCATCACAAAGTCGTTCTTGACCTCACCGTAGTGGGGGAAACCACCAAGAGGAGTCTAAGGGGTTTGTTAGCTCCAATATCAACTATTTTGAGGATAATGTGCTGTTTTGAGGACTTACGATAGTCTTCTTGGTGACGTCGAACTCGGTAGAGGCGTTACCAGCATCGCCAGCCTTTCCGATACGGTAGATCTTGTGGTTGACGGAGGTACGGTGGTGGTAACCGTCTTGACCAGCACGGGCAACAGTCTATCAAATATCGTTAGTGGATTATTTTTGGGCAAAATTTCTCCAAACTGGAAATTTGACGCACCCATTGCACGTGAGCCGGATGCCAGGCTCCAATACAAGCGACCTTCCTCAGACCCTTGTGTGTCTTCCTTGGCAGCTTCTTGGTGCCCCATCTTGATGTAACACCGGAGAAACCGTGACCCTTGGTAACGGCAATAACGTCGATCATCTCATCCTGCTCGAAAACATCGCTGATCTCAATTGGCTTCTCGAAGAGGTCGCGGGCGAAGTCGACCTTCTTGTCAACGGTGCCACCGTTGACTTGGATCTCCATAAGGTGGGCCTTCTTCTGCTTGAGAGGAGTGAGGCGGACCTGGGAGTGGGCGAGAACACGGACGACGGTGCAGTACTTCTTGATACGCTCAAGCTCAAGGGCAATGGCCTTACCCTCACCAGCGTGCTTCTTGGCGTACTTGGTGAAAGCCTTCTTCTTTGACTTGTACCAGTTCTTGTAGAAACGACGGCGGACGGCATCTGAGAGATGCTCAGCCCAGACGGTGGTCAAAGAGCGGAGACCACGGGGAGTCTCGATGTATCCGACAACACCGACAGCGATCATCTAGAACGCATCAGTCTGAAAGCTCCCTCCAAAATCCACCAAACCCTTGGAAAACATACAGGAGGAGTGTCAATGACAGTGACGGCCTCAACAATCTCACGCTTGTGCATCTTGGCACCGGGTCGGTCAAGATCACGGACAATGGTGGTCATACCAGCCTTGTATCCGAGGGCAGCGGTGAGGTGGACAGGCTTCTTCTGGTCATCCTTGGGGAAGGACTAGATGGGAAACAAAAGTAATGTTAGTGACCAAACTTCCCTTCCCTCCTAGCTAAAAGCAACCTCTTCTATGCACTTCTTACCTTAACCTTTCCTCTGTGACGGGCGGCACGCTTCCTGGGGAGGAACGCAAGAGAACCGTGTCTCGGAGCTTCCTACAACACCATCAATATCCATTCCCAAATCCATTGTTGAACCATTCCGTCGATCTTTTTCAAGGATTTATTTTCGGCGGGTTGTGGGTGAACATACGAATTTTCTCTATTGAAAAAAAGTCAAAGTTAGCATTAAAACCTCCAATTCGAGAAGATGAGAATAACAACTTACATGGGACATCTCGAACTATTTCTGGTCGGTTGTCGAATTTGATTGTTGTCGTTGGGTTGAGATTGTGAAGTTAGAATATTTGCCTCATGGAAATCGCTGTAGTGGGGCGAAATAGTGTGGGTGTGGGTTGTGCTTAGTCAATGGGCCTAGGGCTGCGAACCAGCAGTCACGACTGAAGATGAAGAAAGTAGGGTAACCCTAGCTGTGACAATGGGGAGTAAGCGTGTAGACGAATAGATATTACAGATCGTTTATACATGATGTTGTGCGAAAACGCATGTAGGCACATTTGATTACTCTGAAAAGCACGCCTATTCTACTTTGTGCTCGATTCAGAACTACAATTCACTTATCGAAACCCTAACCCTGCACCGGTTGTTTCAGTACCTACGAGCTATCGAGCACGGGTATCGCGGTATCAGTTGAGAGATAAGAAAATTAAGCGCCGACTCTTACACCCTATCGAATTGGTAATTCTCCTTCTTTCTATCTTTTTGGGCCTGGGTTTTACAAAACACTTATCGATTAACTAGACTACTAAGTAATATACACCAATTGCTTCCTGAACACCCATCCCCAGCACAGCTGTAAGAAAGAAAGAAAAAAAAGAAGAAAAAAACGAGGTCAAAAACGCCAAATATCGCCTACCCAACCTGTTACTCCCTCGAAAGATCTACATGCCAAATGGCTGGCTTTCCCTCAGGTCTGCCACTAAACCCTCAACATTACTCATGAACTCCCCAAGCATCCTTTGCTTTTCTTCGGTTGTTTTCTCCAGTCTGATGTCATCCTTCCTCCTGGATGTCCTGGACGGTTGTCTGTCACCAGCAGTCTTTTCGCCAACCTTGTGCTTCGATGGCGTGCTAGATTTATCCGTGGATCCTGGCGCCGTCTCAGGCATGAGATAAAAGTACAGGAATTCCAGTATCTTCAGTTTGACTTCTCTAGGAGTGTCGCGACGCTTGAAGAGTGAGGTAACAGTTGCGAGGCCATCAAGGACTTCGAATGTCTGATAAGGAATCAGTATTGAAACGTTCATGCAGGTGGTGACTGGGGGGAGGATGGAGTTACTTACTCGAGTATTCGCAGGGTTATCCAGTAGCGCGCATACAAGCGTCAACAGAGTTGCGCATTGGACAGGCCCACTGTTGTCGGTATCCAGGAGATCCAATAGAACCTACAGATAACGGTTCGTCAGCATGCCACCTGTTTGAGGTCGTGGGGGATTCAGCGGACTAACATTCATATGAATTTCACGTGCGAACAACTTTCGCGACGAAGGATGGAGCAGTAACAACCCTTGAATCAAGTCAAGGGTAGAAAGAATCAACAGATTATTTTGACCACCTGCATGTTCCAAACGTCAGTTATTGTCTAGATCTACGCGAATTTGAAGGGTGTATTTACTAGTCGTTCTCCCAAGCAAACGTTCTAAGCATGAGATTAGGCGTATCGTGACTGCAGCCGCATTAGCCTCCTTATTATTATTTATTTCCCTTGTTTGCGCATCGACAAAACTCACCATTATATTCAAACCCGTTCTGTAATCTCATGAACTCTTTAAATACAACATCCTTTGGCCTGCTGGCCACAGGTTGGTTCCCAACTGCAGCTGCAGGGTTTGAACTCGGTCTCTGTTTATCACCGTGACTTGAAGCACCAGTGTTTGCGAGGCACATTTTCGCTAGAAAACCTTCAAGGCATCGTAGTCCCTTGCGAATGTGCACCGGATCGTAGGAGGATAGGAGGTCAAAAGATGTAGACAGGAGATGCTCCATTGATCTACGTTTCGGGGTGGATTAAGTTGGTTTTGTTTTGTTTGGTGTTGGTTTATGCGTGTGTAGCAAAACGCGTAAAGTGGCGGCAGCAGCAGCTATGCGGGTAGCTAAGCAGAGTAGATCGATTTTGTGTGATGGATGTAAGAAGCTGAGTGAGATAAATCGATCCTATGGGACGATATGTGATGGGATGGGGATGAGGTTGGGGGGGTATGGAATATGATAGGGGGCTTTCACTCGGGAATGGAGAGAAAAGGAATAGAGCTACTGTAGGGCGCAGGCTGTAGGTGCTTATGTGCGTGATGCGTGAGATGAGTAGCGGAGGGCTGCAGTGTCAACAAGCGCCAAGATCAAGGGGCGGAGCCTCAGTTCACGTTTCCAGGACAACTGCTGATCGGCCTGGTTAATGCTTGTGGTGATCAGTCTAAACCTTCTTAAGGTCCACAAAACACCTCGAGCTTTCGAATCGTCCTGTTCTATTCGCTGCTAGCACCCCGCTACCAACTAAAATTATAATAATTGTTTCATTCTTACCGCATTCACCCTTTATATATTAGCCGTCGGAATATCCACCACTCATAGCTCAGGTGTGACATTAAGGGAGAGGCTGGGTGTGGGATACATCGAGTTTTGGATTGTTTTGATATTGAAAATCCGGTAGATATTGGAGTTTTTACCCGAAAGGTTCTACCCTTTTCGAAAACCTCGCTCAAAAGGGGACGACGGGTGACCTTTTGCATCGTCTGATACCATTTATAATTACGTTCCGGTTTTGGATTGATAGATACATGTCTTTACTGGAGTGTGATCGCTGATTACGCATGTTTGTATATACTTGTTAAGGAGCATAACGATTTTGGTTATAAGGTACATCTCCGCCCCTTTTGTGACTTCTCCAGGTACAATACCAATTCGCCCGTTCTTTGTTATTTGAAAATTCTCGACCCTTTGTAGAGTCGGCGCGCGCGTGACGTAATTATAGGGCTGAAAACCTACCGACTGCGATGCTGATTGCGTGCAGGATCATTTCAAAAATTTCTGCAGAGCTGACAGATTGATTTACTCACATCGTTCGTCTGTCTCTAGTGGTACTTGCATTGGTGCAACTGGACTGATTAGTTATGATCAAAACAAACAAACAAAATAGCGGGGTAAACTCATGACAAAAGAGGGTCTTATGGTGTTTTGATCATTAAACATTAACTCAGACATTTAGGAAATCCTAGCTGTTGTTTTATTTTAACCGGCTTTGTCATAGTCACAAGCCCCGATAACGAGATTAACTTATGCGAACATGATTATGAATGCTGTTAAATTCGACATTCATTAATCGTTATTCGATATCAATCTTTCTCGTAAAATCACACCAGCGTATTCGAAAGTGGCAATATTAATACTTACATGCAGTCATTTTATCTGATAACTATGGCTAGCAGGGGCCATGAATATCATACCTTACCAAGCACCAATCCTCATTAAGGAGATATCATGCGGTGCCATTAATTCAAATCAGTGTACTATCAACATGAGCGGTCGAGTCCCCTCCCTGGCCATTTGCTAATCCTGTCCTGGTACAATTCAGAACTAAAAAACCTAGCGTTAATAATGTCCGTCTGAAATTAAGATAACCACTCTGACCTATAGCCCTGTGCGGTTTTCTGGTACCAGTAGTTGACATACGTATAATATAGACCTAGTCAAGGGCTCCTACTTACTACTCAAAGCTTAAGAGATAGAAGTATACCTCGTCATTCAGCTCTAGTATGTTGTAAGCCTCGATGTTGTCGTACCAAGGGCTATCTGCATGAGGTAATGTAAATATATGATAGGTTAAAACCACTAGGAAGAGTTGAGCGGATGCATCTTGTTGAACACCAGAAGTTTTTGTATTTTACTGGTCGATCTTGAGGGGTTCCCATGGCCGATTCAATTGTTCAAGACTCGAGCCTGGACATGGGTTCGCTAAATCATAGAATTTCTTTTTCAAAATGAGCGATGGCAGTGTTCAAGCCAATGGGGTATGACTGGTAGAGAGGATGTATAAAATACTTGGCCAATCAAGAGAGGTCTTATCTTATTCGATTAAAGCCTTGATGACTATTCGTAATCGGTGATAGGCTTGTGGATTTATGTCAAAGATCGAAGCTCCACTAGCCAGAGATCCTGAGCGGTACATGTCGTGGGGTTTGAAGATCCCAAGGACTGGTGTAGTACACGCCTAAATGGCTAAAAATAAATACCTTCAGGAACGAAATCAAGTTTAGCGAAAACTATGTATATCTACAAAGAATACTTAAGCTTATAGACAAGAAAACCTTAGAATCCGTCAGGTGCACGTCAAAGGCTCTAATTGGACACAGAACCCCAAGAGACCAAAAAAAACCGAGAAACATGCACGGCAATGCATGTATTTCTTTCATAAGGTCAGCGTGTAGATTTTGAGATTGGTAGATGGGGCCGATACGATAAAAAAAATTTGAATTTTTTCTTTTCTTTCGATATGAACCCATAGCATCTATGGGACTTTACCAACCGGCTCCGGGTATGGGCTATTGTAATGCAATTTAGAAGTCGGCATTGCATGCATCTATCGCCATAGATAGCATTTACCTCCACACATATATTCCGTAAGGCTATGCTGATACTAACCAAGTGGTGGACTCATATCTCATCCGAACACCTCGCAGGAAGTAGTTAAGCCTTGTAGCGAATGGTTTTAATGGAATCTCGATGCCTGGGCGATAGAGTTTGCTCGTATTATAACCATAACCACTTGTGGTTCGCCAACTGAGCGAGCTCCTGTTATGTTCTTTAGAATTTACCGGAACCAAAAAAAATCGGATCTGCGGAAAAGGACCCGGTGAACATGGTTACCGATTTTCATCCTCACATCCCGGTGGATGGTTAATGTACCTGTCAAGATCCCTGAGTGAGTTGATCCGTAGAGGGTGAGCTTAGGTGATCATCGAGGGAAGACGATTACTGATTCCTAAACTTAAGCTTCACCCCACACAAAGTTATGTACTCTACCCAAGCTTGGGATTGAGTTCAGTATACGACAACATAATTTAAAATTCTGTCTTCCTTTGTCTTCGTAATGCACTCCCATGAACCCCCCTTAGTATGCAATAGCCACCCGGCAAGTACCCGGAGTACCTAGAGAATCTACCTGCATACATGCGTTCCCTTCCTTGGTCACTGTCATGACACATTGGTGACCATGTAGCAGGGCTTAATTCTTGCAAGAGAAGCTTTCCTGAGGAGCTTGTACTTCGACATTTCCAGGTCAGTTGTCTAGTGCAGCCTCGATTTGTATGGAAGACGTACTAGTGTAGTGATCGTTCGGCTTCAATATTCTCCAGCAGGAATGTGCATAGTGACGATGTATTTTTTTGTGAAGTTTTCGAAAAGTCTTTAGGAAGGTTACGTTGGTGCCCAGTGTCTCCACGTGCGGGTGCCTGCCGAAGAACGGCAGGGGCGGTTTGACGTCATAGCTGTACGTCACTGAAACCGCGCTAGCTACTCCCTGCAGGCGGAACCTTGGCACCATTTCAGGGGCGCTTCAGCCCGTTCGGTATTGGCGTGCGCCAGGCCGGCCCCGATAAGATACCAAGCTCAATAAGAATCTGATCTGCGAATTTAACGGGACGTGCCGGAACACAGGTTCTTCAAAATACTCAAAGTCCTCCGCTATCCCGCGGCAAATATCACCAGAGTTATTACCCTCTTCAAGGTGCACTGGCCTTCTCAGCCCCTTTCACAAACTGGATTTCGCGATTGTACAAAGGTATGTTCGTTATGGAGAAAACCCTCATACATAACTGCAGGGAATCACTCTATATTGTGCGTTCGCGCTTAGCGGGTGGTCGAGCATCTCTTTATTGCTGATGCGGCATTTTAGGTGCCTCAGAAGTAAAAGATGAGGATTATATCTGACACAGCCTCTTTTTTCTGACAGGGTAGCTATTTTTCCCAATCGATAGGGAACTTTGACGATAGATTCCCCTCTCTTCCCCAGCCTGTACCGACGACGGCTGATCAGCAAGATGTCCACTCTTTTTGCTCGTTCCGTATCAAACCAACCGAGATGGATTTATATGTATGAGCAATCAGGGAAGATTACAGTTGGATCTTTCAATCTGCCTACCATCGGTCTTTTATGAGCCTTTCCAGGCACGGTTTTTTCCCTTTGAAACAATTTGATTCTTCCGGAGACGCTTGCAACATTTATTTATGCAAAGCCCGGCTCAATTTTTTTTTTTTTTTTTTTTTTTTTTTTTGCTGCGGCCCCGCGGCATGTTCACTATAACATAAGTTGCCAATAGCTGGGATAAGTTGACGAGCGATTTCTGACGTTGGGCTACGACGCGCCACAACTATAGCTAGGTTTTTGCAATATCAACTAGGTAGGATGTTCAGATAGGGCTGGAGTAAGAATTAGTGGCGACGGTGCCAAAAAATACACTCGGATGCAAGTGCAAACTAGAGTACAGTAGAGTTCCTAACCGAATCAACGACGTGTTGCTTTTTCTAGATAATTGTGCCTTGATACCTACCTAAGCACATCCATAGCAACGCCAGAAAGTAGGTAATCCACACTTTATTCATACCCCAATTGTATTTCATCTGGCAGACGGCAAGCGGAGAACAAGTGTCATTGGATGCTACATGCATGTATTAAAGATCTCAGGTTGCCATCGATATCGTGCAGGTTGAAGCAGAAAAAAATGATACGAAATCATATCCTAGCTCCACCGGCTCCATACAGAATAGGTTAAACCCTCAGTTTTCCAGGGTCCAACGGAACTTGGCTAGTATGCTTTGAGGGTCTGGCCAATTTGTATCGTCATTTTGCATTCAAGGAATTGCCGGTACAGATACACGAGGAAGGGGTTAGAATTAGTGCTTTCTGTTTCGTGCGATTTTCTGCGGGCTTCCAATGCATCTTAGAGGGGGGTACATGATACATACATGTGGTGTAGTTATCGTTGGCTCCACCCGATATGTTGCAGGGTTTTGCTTTGCTGTTCTGGGAGGCGGGGTGGTGTTGAAAGGGTTCCCATATCAGCATGTAGCTACGATGGCCATGATCCACTAATATTATTATTGTACGTATTTTTACAAAACCGGGGCTCAGTCAATGGTGATATAAAAACCCCCGCTCGCCCCCATTACTGTCACCTCTCAACCTTTACCCATCCACCTTTTAGTCTACGGGTTGTAAGATCTGTAAACTTTATCAACCACCTCACCCTTATCTCTCTACTTCTCGCCCAACTCATTATTCGAGTACCTGAGTTTTCCCTTATAAACTTTAGCCACCTATCACCTAAAGAAAATCAATATGGCACCTGCTGTAGTAAACACCCAGCCAATTAATGCCCCCGAGCTTGAAAGAGCCAAGCCCCATACCGGAGAGATCAAGGTCCAGGACCTTAGAGTACCAACAAAGAGCTTGGAATATGCAGATGGGGATCTTGGGCCGAAGAGAGACATTATCATCTTCTCAGGTGTGTTGTTTTTGGGTGAGAGCCCGTGCTAGAGAATGTTTGTTAACGAGCTTTCTAGATTTCGATGGCACCATTTTCATGCAAGACACTGGACATATCTTGTTTGATGCCCATGGCTGTGGTGCCAAGAGGAGAGAGGAGTTGGACGAGGAGATTAAGAATGGTGTAAGGTCATTCCGTGAAGTCTCCGAGGAGATGTGGGGAAGTTTGAACGTTCCGTTCGACGATGGCTTCGATGTCATGAAGGGAGCTCTGGAGATCGACCCTGCGTTCCTCGAGTTCCACAACTTTTGTATCAAGAACAACATCCCATTCAACGTCATTTCGGCCGGCTTGAAGCCAATCCTTCGCCGCGTTCTCGATGAGTTCCTGGGAAAGAAACAGGTAAGCTCTATCCACCATTCCTTACTGTTACATCCGGTTAACTCTTGATTCCCCCCCTTAGTCGAAATTCATCGATATTATCGCGAACGACGCCACAATCAGTGCAGATGGATCACAGTGGAAGCCAGTCTGGCGCCATGATACCCCACTCGGTCACGATAAAGCAGCTTCAATCCAGGAATACCGAACTATCGCCTCCTCAGAAAGTGAGGACGGATCATGCCCTCTAATTATCTTTGTCGGAGATGGCGTTTCAGATCTTGCAGCGGCCCGTGAAGCAGACGTCCTTTTTGCTAGAAGAGGATTGAGACTTGAGGAGTACTGCAGGGACAATAAGATCCCGTATATTGCTTTCGATACCTTTGCCGATATTCAGAAGGAGATTATCAACATCACCCGGGAGGACCAGAAGGTTACCAAAGGTTATGGAAAACCTGTCCAGTACAACGTGAGTATAATTATCTCTAAAGACTTGAGTAACTTTTTCTAACTTTGAATCCAAGCCTCGCGCCAACTTTTGGAGAAAAGCCATCAAGAAGAAGGCGGTACCTCGCTTTGTCCGAAATGCTTCGAAAGAGGACAAGCTACATCTCTGGCCCGAGACGTTTTCCGTCAAGGAGCCTGCGGCCAAGGATTCTACCGCTTCATCAAGTGCTGAGCCAGCCACCTCCCAGTAAATCTGCAGTGGGATCACAGAGATCGATATATTGTTTTCAAGAGGTTTAGCGATATGCCCTTGTGTTTTTTTTACAACCTTCAAGACCTTGGCGAGGTGGAATTAGACAACCTCTCACGTTGATGCGAATTTTTGTATTTCATTTTAGTTACCTGTTCCTGGTATGGGATTCTGGCGTATTGGGTTTCATTTTTATTGTACTGTCCGAGTTTATGTGCTTATAAAGAAGTACACTATGAATCTACCTTGGGAAAAGGAAGGATTGGAACTAGGAAAAAAAATAGTGAATCATTCATTCATATCTACAACCTTTGCGCTTCGACATTCATGGTCCGAATATGTGAATGATATCAACAACTGACCGACTAGATAAATTACCGGGTATGTGTACGAGGTACATATGCAAGGACGGAATGGTGAGGTGTTTTGCCCAGCTGTGTGTTTTAGGAATGTACAGTATGCATCGGCTGCCAGCAAACGAACGAACAGACGAAAAGCGAGAGCTAGAGAGATACATGTGAAAATGTATGTATCCAGGCTAACTATGTACATGATCCTTAAAGCTGCAGGCACTACTGACCAAGAATACTGGCGAGCAGTGGCCTTTTCGAGTGGCCGACTCTTGCTTGCCGGCAACGTTGCAACGTCGCGGACTGATTCGCTTTTAGCCATCCTAGCCAGTCGGTGTTTAAACGTTTAATGATATCAGATGCGGGGCTTCTTATGTGCTGTACACCGTCTCATCGGGTATCAGAACTGCTAAAACAGCGGGTATGGCGTTACTGCCTTTGGTATAAATCGTTTTTGTCGAATCCGCTGTTATCGCTCATCTTTTATTTCTGACACTCGTTTCCAGCTGCTTTTTACATAGAAATACTCTCATCATGGAGTCTCTAATATGTTGACCCGGATATACTTTATCTTACTTCGCCATCGAATCCAATCGAGCCCCGCTTCTTGAACACGGGGGTGGGATCGACCGGCCGGGTTATCTCGATGCAATAACAAATTGGTTGGTAAAACTTTCCGGACTTATCTCTGAGTATGTAGGATGTGGCAAGTATCTCAAGTTTTGCATGAGTGGGGGTGATCCGGTCTTCACATTTGTCAATCCGGGAGCTAGTGATGGATCGTGACGCTGGTTTGGAGGGGTTTGGGAGCGCTTGGGGGGTTTGGGAGATCCCCCCTGAGCCGCAATTGAGCACTACAATTCGGGTAATGATTTGCTGTCGGGATTTTTGCCTTGAAATATGAGTAAACCCATAGTGCTCTATATTCGGACTATCTCAAACCCTAAGTACGGGACGGAAACAACGTTTAGCTGCATAACGAATCCCTTTCTGATATTTATATATTGTGGAGATATTGTATTGACTTGAGGCAGTCTCCCATAAAAATATTAACATTGCATGGTGAGTAATTCGCCCACCGAATTGGCCGGTCGAGCTGAAACTGCCCTTAAGATTATATCATAGAAAGATATGTACCTGTACGTTTCACGTCACGTGCATAATGTGGGATGAAGGGACAGGATATAGTAAACCTGCAGGAAGAGATCACGGCAGATAATAGATCAGTATATACCATAGTAATATCACTGTATCTCGGGCTATATGGGAGAGTTTATGCTTAAGTACTCTAGCGACCGGATTGAAGCCGCTCAGACAAAAAAGGTAATTGATCTGAATACTGCAAAAAACGTGAGCTCTTAGTCGTTGTTGAGCGGCTTCAAACCGGCCGCGCGAGTATGTACTCGCAATTTCATAGCGTTTCCGGACGCAACTGCTATTGCATACACAGAAAAAAATCGCCAAGGCTATCTTTTGTATGGCATGCAATAGTGGTCGCGTCCGGAAACGTCAAAAAACTACGAGTAAGTGAGTACATGCCCCTGAATCCTATACAATTGTTTTATCATTCCCTTCAATACAATGAAATGTTTTCAAGTGTAAGCTTTTGATTGGTGTTACCAATTATGCATATATGCACCTACATTGTAGAGGTATTATAAGCAGCCACGTGGCGTTCATATATAGCGCTTGATAACCAAGTGCTTCCCACACCTAGCCTTATTCGCTTTGGATTCTGGGAGCATGGATTATCACTCGTCCCTTGATTTGGGCGTTATAAGTTTTTAATTTAGATAGAGGTGATGAGGTGTTGAGTTACAACGTTGGAAAGCGCGTGGTTACATGCTTATTTCGATGGATTATTCGGCAGCCCTTGATCAAATAAAAGACATGCTTAGGAATCAAATTAAATTGACACATAAACTTCATCTTAATGTCTTTTCTCATTCAACTTGTATCAACCCCAGCGTCTTCTGTACTGGCGATTACTAACACTACAAAAGAATCTTTTTACAAGGCCTCGTGAACAGCAATAGTTACCTAAGGTGGTCTATAGTGGGTACGCTGACGGCTGAGGTCTGGACCTGACTGATTGATTAATAACTTATTGTTTTGGGGGGTCCGGAACCTTATTCGTTGTCCACATGAATAACCTGAACTATCGTTTCATCAATTGATCAATCATATAGAATACAGAAGACCTCAGCTCATCACAAACATGATAGAAAATTACAGTTCTTTCTATACGCCCCCAAAAAACCCGCCTTGAAATTACATATACATATTTCCAGCAAAAAAATAATTAAAAAAAAAACCGCTAAGCAGATGAAGGGATTATCTGGACACCAGTTTTTCGAAACCCGAAACCCGAAGGGAGATCTGGACTTTGTGCCCTCGATTATGGCATCTCAACTCTCTCTGCTGGTGGCGGTAGATACTCAGTGCTTCTTGAGAAGGCACCAGGGCCATATCCCATTTTACTATCTCTTCCCCCCAATTCGTGCAATTCACCTCCCGCCCCGAGCTCCTGTATATGATCAGGAGACATTGGGGGGTCGAGAAACATTGGGGGGTCGATCTGGACTTTTTCCTTTTGGCGGCGACGTCGGCGCATGAATAAGAAGCCGATTGCTCCGGCTAATAGGGCAAGCAATCCACCGACAACACCACCCACTACAGCAGGCGTCGAGGATTTGGTTTCATCAGAAGATCCCGACGAAGATGCCGAATCCGAAGTGCCTGATGATGAGCTCGAGGACGATGAGGACGATGAGGATGATGACGCTGGACTATCTTGACTTGTCGTTGACACACCATCACTAGTGAAGAATATCTTCTCAACAGCTGGGTTGGTCCAGGCGCTCGGCTTATTCTTGTCCTTATCTGGGTTCCCGCTCTCATCACCGCCGATCACATCTGTAATGGCCTTGGGCAAAACATATGCAGCCTCAGATGAATTGAACTCGGATTTCCAAGATAAACTGGACGTATCAAAGACGAATAGCGGGGATGTCTGGCATTGCGATATTGCGGAAGAGCTGAATGCGCCGCCAATTACTGCCATTTGTCTATTGCCGATAATTTGGCATGAATGGGATGTACGCGCTCCCGCAATATCGTCATCCGAATCAGCAGTGTTGTAGACCTTGATCCATTTGAATGAAGGCAACGACAGTATCCAGAGATCATTGTAGGATGACGATCCTTGGTCGGCGACGGATCCGCCAAATATGTAGATGTTGAAAGAGGACTTGTCGGGGGCGGCTTGAACTACTGAACAAGCTTCCACTCGATTGCTTGGGATATCTCCCTGTGAATTAGTGCCTACGGCAGCCTGAGAGTACCAAGTTGATGAGGCAATATCGAAGAATTGAATTTCAGCAAAGCTCGCCTGATGATCCATGTATTAGCCAATGTAATATCAGGATAAAGACGAATCAATATTACCATATTCTCATAGGTAGCGGTAGAGCTACTGGTCTGAAGGGTTGGTCGCCCACTAATTGGTACCAGAATTCCCGATTCCCCGACCGGTACATATACCAACGAGTCATCCACAACAGTCAGATTTTTATCCGACTTATTCTCATAAGTCACATTTCGCGTAACTTTTGTCTCCCAGTCAAACTCAATAAGATCGGGCCTTCCAGGGGCGCCCTGTATCTTCCCTAGCGGATAATACCAGGGATCACTTGTGGTTGCCTGGTCCTGAAACCCTCCAAACGCGTACGACTTTTTTATTTTTGGAGCATTGGTGGATCCGCCTGATGCGAGTCGATTCACACTGCTATCACTTGAGGCCTCCTTCCACGATGTTTCTGAGGTGCTGGGATCAAGCTCCCAGAGTCTGAAGGTTTCCTGAGATTTCTCTGTTTGCCAGCCGCCGTACTGGAAGAAGCTATTTCCGTCGCTCCAGGCACAGGCCTCGTTAACATTGGTGACATCGTCTGGTTTAGAACGGGTGTTTAGTGGGGGTGTATCGATTTTCCAGGAGGATGATAGGTCGATGTATTGGATGCTGTCAACTATCCCACAAAGTTAGCATAGTCGTGGGTGTTTGGTCAGCCCAAAGAGACGTAGAGCTAAGACGACGTGCATGCTTTGTATTCCTTGGTAGAGCTGTTGACAAGATTTTGGCCGCCGTTGATGTAAAGCCTATCCCCTACAACCGTAGCTATATGGATTAGGAACGTTAGTATATACATCCTTTTGAATGTTTTATCTAGAGGGAGACCTATTACTTGAGCTCCATCGTCTACTGCAAAGATCCTCAAGATCTGTAGCTAATGAGGTATCAAGGAGCGATATCGATATTGTAGCCATGAAAATGGCGAATCTGTTGAGGACCACCATGTTTGCTGTATCACTGAAATTTGAACAATCAAAAAGTGAAAAGTCGATCGAAGGGTGTCAATTATATCATCGACCTGGTTATCCAAACATCTCCTTTATACGGGCCTGGGGAGCCCTACTGTTCCTAGATTAAAGTCAGGGCACCCGCCCCCCCGCCTCGTGCAGAATTGCTTGTAATTTCCCCAGGGGGCTGAAGGGGTTAGTTTATGTGGTGCGTTGTATATGGCTCGGTATATACCGCGTATGGGGGACAGTTGGATACGACAGACGAAAAGGCTAAAGTTTATACTCAATCACTGACTTTGGAACTTACCAGATACATACTAGTATTGTATATTATGAAGAGGCAATGCTCGAATCAATAGTTATGTAGATAGGCGTTTGTTTTCTGGTTTGCAACGTGCAAGGGCCGGCTGCGGCTGGCGATTACAGTAATGCATTAAAAGGGGAGTATCAAATCACGAAATATAGTATGTTACTCATGCACCAACAACTGTATCTACAAATAGCATACTGCGGTATTCTTTGTACAAACGTGCAACGAATAATCTGGAGTAAATACTGCCAAAAAAAATAGCTACATACATGTAGCTAATGTGGTGTAAAGTAGCTGATTTTCGAATTTCCCGAGCGCTTACCAAAAAAATCTTCGTGGCTAATTGATTAGCTAAATTTACTGTTAATTGTTGGAGAAGGGTTTCGCAATCTCTGCCTTGCCACGGTTAAAATGGTGGTTTATAGGATGTGTCACCGTGTAACCTGGATTTTGAAAAGGTTATATGCACAACTCCGTCTTGGGTTGCACAGCCCTAGAATGAAGATTGAAGTTTGGTTATCGCCTTTGTCTTTGTCGATGTCCTATGACTAGCCCAGGGAGTTAGATACCTGGTACTGTTCTGGCACACATAACTGCGAAACAAGGTATCTATCTTGAATAGATCAACTACATACATGATCGGGTACCGTAGGAGCTACCAGTTGCCTCTTAAGGGTTGGATCTGCGAAAGTAATTATAAGTTAGCTGTTTTTATTTTTGGGTTCGTTACATGTAGTTTAGTGATATATCGCTCTCTGCAGCTTGCTCTCCAGCAACATGTAACCATTCACATCCCTACACGCCAAACGTCCAAAGTTACAGGGTTAGGTATCTGATTTTTTTCCAAAAAATTTAGCCCCTCCCTTACTCTACTTTATCTACATGCTGTACTTATTCTTTTTATTGCCGGTACATGTATCTTATGTGCCAACATAAACGAACATTCCCCCTCAGTTACAGGAGAAAGAGGGTAAAACAAAATATAGGGGAAGACAGCCAAGAAGGTCAATTGGAATACCTATTGTCGTTGATTGGATGATGCGTCCGGTGTGGCTTACAGATGTGGCAGGGAGCAGAACAGGTAGAGTACTTCGGTATCAAGGGTAAGTGAGTAGAACGTGGCAGCGTGGCTAAAGCTGTTTTGCTCGCGAATATGAACCGCCGCGTTCTACTCACTTACCCCTGATACCGAAGTAAAGCGACCGGAATGATTTATGGAAAAACGGGGGGGGGGGGGGGGTGAAATTGTATGGCGAAATATCTGTACACCATATAACTGGTTTTTCCATAGATTATTCCTATCGCTGTACTTGAGGATGCAGGTACGGTACCACAGTTTCAGCCTTGCGATGTCAACACCATCGGCCCTATGGCTTGGTATTGACATCAGGAGAGTGCCTCGGTCGACACTGTATGATCTAGAAGATTAGAGTTAGAGGTAGGACAGATCTTAGGGGTACATACGCGTGGGGTGAATCGTGTAGCTAATTGCTTCATCATTCAATTACATATTTATGCTTTCGTCCGAACAATGCTGACGCGGGGTCGTAGAACTTACCTAGATCACCATAGTATTGGACGAACCCCATTCGAAGATCCAGAGCCTTGGATTAAGCATTCGCCTACCATGAGCTTAATCCTTCATTGGCAGCACAAAACACTCTATACCTCGTGTCTGCACTCTAAACCTCGTGTCTGTACTCTAAGCCTCGAGTTTTGACGAAAGATTGGCCCCGCCGTTAGAATGCACATATGTTGTGCTAAGATCAAATGCTAGTAGCGTCTCGAGGCAAGGCAAAGCCAGAGGGGGACGGCTTTCAAGCCGATTGTGTGTAACTATGGCATGATCAAAAAAAAAAAAAAAAAAAAAAGCTTCAATCTACAATAACGCTCGACCACGTGGGTGAGATGTGGGGTGCGGGTTGTATTCCCCGAGAATTTTCTCCATATAGACAGATACCTTCAGAGTGGGCGTTTTTAAGCATTTGAAACCTCGTGGCGTTGTTGGCGATTGTACATAGCCTAGAGGGGTTGTGCGTTTTTTTGCTGTTCTCGGCAGAGCGATAAGGAGGGCAACGGCCAGGATTAATTACATAGCCACAATTGTACAACCAAGATCAATTGGAAAGATAAACTTTAATTTGTGCACACAGTAAGATCGCATTGCAAAACAGGAACCGACGCTGTAGAAGCATATTAAGGGGCATATTCTCACGGTCATGGCATGTCATGCCGTTGAGGTTTGAGCCGAGTAATAAGAAAAAGCAATTAATTCAGCATTCCATTCAATAACCACTGTACTGTGAGTGATATTTCATGATCCAAGCGCGATTAGTCATGCGGCTCTTCAAACCTTCACCTCAAAGAGGGTCTGTAGCAAAGAAAAAATAACCTCATCCAATTCAAAGCCTCCCAAATGTCGTCATTCAACATCCCCCCTATGCTAAAGCGAGTCTTTGACTCCTTTCCACTCCTCATACTCCCCGATGATCCTCTACCATCGGGATATCTCCAACCCAGCAAAGACAAGCCATTGCTGTACGTCTTCACCACTCCTGCAGACGCAGCAGCTGGAAAACCGAGCTTCAACCCAAGCTGTCTAAAATGGCAGGTGGGTACAAACCTCCACCCGAAACCGAAACCCAATCGTTATATATACCGTTATCTGAGGCTGTAGTTGTTGAGTTGTAGACATATCTGAAACTCTGCGGGATCGATTGTAGGATCGTTCCCTCAAGCAACCATGCCTCGCCCTCCGGCGCGCTACCGTTCCTCATCTCTGCTGCTGCGGCCCCTTCTTCGGCCACTAAAACAATATCTGTGGGTGCGCTGAGAAAGTGGGCTGCCGAAAATGGGAGTGCGCCAAATGAGATCCCCGAGAAGGAACAACCACGGGTGCAGGCATTTCTGGCGATGCTGAATTCGCAGATACGAGATGCGTGGGTGGGTTCAACTTTCGTCTTCATCCTACAATAAACATGTCAGGTGTCACTAAACAGAATCGCAGCTACACTCTCTCTACCTCTCTCCCACCAATTTTGTCACCATCACCTCGCCGCAGTACCGCTCCACCACGGTCAGTGCCGTAAACCTGATCCTATCACATCAGATGCAGGCCGCCGCGACTAAGGAGCTTCTAAAGGCTCGCCCAGGCGGTATCATCAACCCGGATGACATCTATGCTGATGCGGAGTCCGCGGTTTCGGCTCTGTCGGCGGTGCTAGGTGAGGATGAGTGGTTTTTTGGTGCGGAGGAGCCCGGGTACTTCGACGCTGCTGTGTTTGGGTATACCCATCTGGTGCTGGCGACGGAGTGGGATGAGGGCGAGGCGGGACTGATGAGAGCGGTGAAGGGGCATGCGAACTTGGTTGCTCATGAGGAGAGGATATGCAGAACGTGCTTCCCAGGCACAAGTGTTAGGGAGAAGTAAGGCGAGATAAATGTGGACTTATCTTCTCCTCCTTGCTCCCCCTCAAGTCGAGGATGAATGTATATATGGTAGGTAGAAGTGTCTCTCCTCAAAAGACCTAGAGGTCACCAGTAATAAAATATCATCAAGTTACAGCACGGGTATCGGTTCTTGTTAATATATTTTTTTGATACATGAATCATGGAACGAATTTGGTTCTTACGTTAAACTTGATATAAATACGTATGTAGATGTTCTATTTAAAAGCCAATTATATTGGCGTCGATCGTAAAGAGATCCAGGGATGATGATATATTGGTAAGAGGAATTCAAACTCCAGAGATAATAGGATCGTATGTAGCTATCTGGATGGCTTGTCGTTGAGCAAAGCGAGAACAAAGAAAAAACCACATTTTAATATTTAAACAAGGTTTTCTGTACACATCATCTCTTAGATATTGGTAAAAATAAATGTAGGCGTTGTCTCTAAGTCTGTCCATGGGTAGTGTTAGTAGTCATGTCTTGAATAAAGGCGAAAAATTTCTGTTGACTGAGTCCCCTGCATCCCACCATTACTAGAGATATCCGTCAATTAATAGCTAGAGATAAATAGAGGTCATTAGATCATGAAATATCACTCGGGCTCAATAAGATTTGCTGCTAATTATGTTTCAACTAAAGTGCGAACCTGCTCATCTAAAATATATTCCTGGATAGCTTATAACATATAGTCAAAGAACTATATATGGGTGATACGCAAAGAGTCAAAACGTTTCGTTAAGAGTGGGGTGATATATACTTTTGGGACCCACTGGGGGTCAAGCCGTTTAGACAGGCCTTATTGGCGGCCTATCCACCGGCGAATAAGCCAGAGCGGAGCGTCGACCGGATGAAGAAAAACTATCGTAGCTATAGGCGAGGGGGTGGTACTCTTTTTTCTGTGTTTGGTTCACTAAACATTAAGAATTGCAGGTAGGTCAACCATTGAAACTTACGATTCGGCAATAACACCACCATAGGACCCGTCCTACCTGCGTTCATGCCTTTCGAAGGTCTTTCCCGTACCTTATTATCGTTGTGTACTGACGAGGACTATCATAGGACTGAGCTATGTACCTTTGGGCGTCTCAGATATACTCAGAATCTTTTGTACCGGATCATCCCAAAGCCAAATACCTACTTCGGATTTTAAGGCTACTTACTAGCTACCATATATATATATAGTACTAGTCTTAATTCCATTCCCTGGTTTTCGGTATTGCAGCCCAGCGTAGCCGTGAGTATAGGGAATAAAAATATGACCAATGTCGTACGTAAAGACCCAAGTACTGATGTGTCACTTATCCTCTTTATTTTCTACCGGTTGAGCCGGCTCATGCAACTGTTGGTAAAATCAAACCGATATCCCCCAGAGTTGGAAAAAGAGAACTTCCGTTCTCTGTACAAATCTCGAACCTCGAACATCAAGTTTCATGGCATGTAGCACGGAAGTAACCCCAGCGATATTCCTAGCTCCGGGGAAATTTTGAGTTTATGTCATAACCTCTCTCGCTTAACATCTGAGAAGCTAAGTTTACTCGCTTAGTTATTTAGATGTAGTTAGCTGCTACCGTAACGACCGACAACCAGCTGCGAAGGCTTGGCGAGTACATGAGTTAGCATGGATGATGTATCTTGCCACCTTCAGTGTCGAGTCAAACCCCATGTAACTTTGGTCTGAAGAGACTCCATATCTCAAGAAGAAATAAAACGAATCCAGGGCGACCCAATTGCAAATGTTCTAGACAATCGATCTAGAAACCATGTAACCCTATGTAGCTGTATATCTACATGTAAGCCGAAGAACGATCGATCGATATGTGTCAAGCCGAATGTTTCGATGGAATTCTCCATGGGATATTTTCCCTTATTTTCCTTGGGAATATTTGAGTTAGGGCGGATTGGCCACGGGGCTCGCACTCGTAGTTAATTTAGTTAATTTACTTGATTATGCCAACCGAGTTACCCAGAGCTCCAAAAAGGGGTATTATATATCATTGACATCTGTATCCTAGTGGCTTAGGTGTACTGCATGTAGTATCGACAATTACAACCGCTTTTGCCGATGAAGCCGTGCTGAGAATAAAGCGGAATAGGGGCTTAAAAGTTTCACCCGTGGTGCTGATTAATTTGTGTAGAGCCCATAGAAATTTGTATAAGGCCTAGAGCTCAACTTGGTGTGAAAAGACCGCCCTAGTGACAAAAATTATAAGGTGCCCACGTACTTGATCATCTTAACTTCTGGGATACTGGAGGGCGGGTAGGAAGAAAACGAGAACTTGCCACCCCTCAGTATACCGTTCCTTCATGTCGGGGTCATAGCACGCCATATCTGTTTTCATTTGGCCCGTTCGTAGTAAAACATCTTTATCTGTAGCCCAATGCCGCGCATAGAGCCATAATCTTCTCCAAGACTCCATGTAGAACACTACCTGATGTCCGTTCTAACCTATAATCTTCGACAGCAGGTGCCCCGGGGATTGACCTGCCGACCTTCTCTGGCTCACGCCAAACCAAAGAACTCTCAGATCGTAATAAGATCAATATGAAATTTTTAAAGCTTGACTCCAAGTTCTTTATTACTGCTTATACATACAGCAAGTATGTGTCCGAGGTATTCATTTGCGGAGTAGGGGTACACCCCTTGGAGACAAGTCCGCTCCAGATCTTGAGATCTTATGTCCTCCGTAAATATCACGTATCGCAGGAGAATAAAATATTTCCTAGAACTAGTATCGCCTTTGATAGTTGATTTCCCCCTGAAATCAAGTAATATAAGAGCCATCATTGTAAAAGCTCCCCGCGAGTTCCATCGACAATACTGGATCACCCAAATATAAACGTCCTAAGCATGATGTTTGTACCTATATTTGAGCTTTTAGTACTCTCTGCTGTTGGGCTAGCCCAAGATACTGCCGCCCCAGTCCCCACAACGAGTGGGCTCACCCAAGATGCACCTCAAGTCTCATCTAGCGGTGTTACGAATGTACCGCAAGTTTCTGTCCCTCAAGCCTCATCCACCATTGCTTTAGTTGTACCCCAAGCTTCTGATACGCTCGGATCCACTACCGGACCCGAGGCCTCTGCTTTACCTGAAGTCTCCACCGAACCTCAAGTTTCTACCACACCTGAAGCCTCCACTGAACCTCAGGTGTCTGCTGTACCCGAAGCCTCTGGTGTACCCGTAGCTTCTGTCGTACCCGAGGTCTCTGCTGTACCTGAAGCATCTACAGCTGCTGTACCTGAAGCTTCCGCTGTACCTGAAGCTTCCGCTGTACCTGAAGTTTCTGCTGTACCGCAGGAGTCTCCCCCTAGCGACGTTACTGAAGAATTGCCTGTACCTACCGTCACTCTTGGAATCGCTGAGGGTGACATACCCGTTCCGGCTTCTAGTACTGCTGTGGTCGCTGTGGAGGTACCCGCCGTTTCTGCATCCAGTGAACCACAGACCGAACCTACAGAGACTGTTGTTCCGGAGGCTACAGTCCCAGAGACTGTGAAAAGTGTCGACGTGGTCCAACCTAGGTTTCCGGAGCCTGCTGTTCTACCAACACTTCCAGAACCTATTGACGGGACGATCGCTCTCCCCCCATTTTCAGGAGCCGTGGCCGAGTAAGTGATATACACAGTCCATTGTTTTTCTATCGTTAAAGCATGTTGTTATTAACAAGTATATTTTGATCAGTTATCAGTGTCCTATTGCAAACGGTAACTTCTGTTACTATATTGGTAATTTGGTTTCGCCATACATTGTTCGTTGCAGCAACGGCAAAGGATCAATTGGAAGCTGTAAGATCATAATTATGTCATCCTCTTTGAGCAGAAATCAGACTGATATCGTGAATAGGTATTGATGCTTTGGTTACTAGCGGTACCGAAGGTCGATGTAGGTTCCCCTTCCGATTATTTTGTATTACTGGATAAGGGCTTACACTGTAAACCAAACATAGGCTACCAACCAAATTCTAATTTGTTCAATGCCATTTGTGTTAGCAGAACTACTGTGTAAGTTAATTCCTATCAAATCTAGAGGAAGTATTGAGGCTCACAAGGAAATCAATACAGTTACCCCGAGGACGGTAGTTTGCCATTCCCAATCCCGCCCCTTGACTTCCCGCCAATTGCAACGAATATACCTCTTCCTCTTGTTTCAGCGGTCCCGCCAATTGCGACGAATGTGCCTCCTCCCCTCGTTTCAGCAGTCCCACCAATTGCTACAAATGTCACTCCCCCACCGAGTGGGGCCATCCCTGATGATCCACCCCCAGGACGACCGGGGAATGGAAACAACAATATCAATAGTAATACCAACATCAACAACAACCAAAATTCCAACGTAAACCAGAATGGCAACGGTGGTCCTGGTGGTGGGCGGCCCGGTGATGGCTTCCCAGGCGGGCACCCTGAAGACGGCGGCCGTCCTGATGGCGGGCGCCCCGGTGATGGTTTCCCCGACCACGGACGCCCTGGTGACGGCTTCCCAGACGGCGGACGCCCGGGCGACGGATTCCCAGGTGGTGACGACGGTCGTCCTGACGGCGGATTTCCAGGCGGTAATGACAACAGTAATAGCAATACCAACATTAACAGCAACCAGAACATTAACACAAACCAGAATGGCATCGGTCATCCTGATAACAGGCCAGGAGCTGGTCCTGACAATGGGCCTGGTGTTCTTCCAGGCAGTCCTCCCAATGGTGAAATTGGTGGCCCAGGTACTGAAAATAACAATCAAAATACCAACATAAACCAAAATACAAACACCAATACCAATACGAATGGAAACACAGCCAGGAGAGATATCGAAGCTGGGGTTCCAAATGTTGTTGCAGATGTAGATTTCGATGAGATGGAGTTAGATGAGGATTTCTACTCATTGGTAAAGCGTCATGAGGAGGAGAGCATCAAGAAGGCTGCGGGTTCTCACCTCGAGTTTAAGACCTATGAGATGATTGCTGCTATTGCGGCAGTCATGATGTTGATGTAAAGTGTAGTAGGGTAAGGTTTTATACGTGAGATATTCGGGTCGGAATTTGTTCTTACTAGTTACGATACATCCGCGGGGATGAAGTTATTTTTTCCTTAAATTTATAGACAAATCGATTTATTGAATATATAGCTACGTAAGCTATCTTTTTGAAAAAAGACGTGAATTGATCAATTGAGCGTCGGCTCTTTAAATTTTTTTTGTGAAACGAAGGGGGCCAGTTCTGCTAATACCCGTGCAGATAAGTAAGCTTCTAATAGAACTCTTCTTTCACTGTGGGGAATCCAAAGAAATAGTTTACAGTGTTCTACAAATTAAAAGAGGGCATTTGTATGTTGGAGTTAAGACCAGCTGCAGATATTACATAATAATAGCAATGTGGCGTGACAGGTGTTTGGAGGTTGGTGTTGGCGAGCTCCTCAAGATTTTCACCACTTGTACTCTACTTCTACTCCTACTAGGTGCATGCTAGTTATGCTTTATTTAATATTGCTGTAGGTTGGTTGACGACATCATGGCCGTTGTAGTGGCTGTGTCTGACAGCTTGAGCCTCATGTAGCTGAGACGCCAAGTCAAAAGCGGAATGGTTTGCTGATGTGAGTGATCAGGACTACAACCGTTACAATTCCCTAGGCGCAGGTTTGAGAACACCCTGGCCATAGTTCAGGACAACTCTTGCGAATTGAACCCTCGAACACACCCAAAGCGCCAGCCAAATCCCGCCGCCCATCTCAGAGTTCTCCCTGCTTCCCTTAAACACCTCTCCTTTCCCCGCCGTTTCCGCCGCAGCCGCACCCGCCCTCTGTTGTTTCTGCCCCTCTTCTCTACACCCTCCTTCCTCAGACCCCCGCAGCTCGAGCACATATCTATCAATCAATCTGCGCGGCTTGTCTCCTTCTCTCTTTCTGGACCTTCCCAACCCCTTTCTAATCTTTAGTCTTCGATCCCCGCATCTCAATTCAAGATGCAGTCCATGCTTACCAAGGTGAGACCTTCACCCCACTTTGACCTTTGCTATCGGAGAGCCTTCAATCGCTAACTATAGAATAGTTCGAGTCAAAATCATCACGAGCTAAAGGCATCGCTTTCCATCCTAAACGGTAGCTTCGAACTCCTCACCTACTATTTAAGCTTCAGTTTTCATCATTACTATGATGTAACAGTACTAGATTGCTAATTTGCATCAAATTGTCCTCTATACAGACCATGGATTCTTGTCTCACTCCACACCTCGACTATTCAGCTATGGGATTACCGCATGGGAACTCTGATAGACAGATTTGAGGAGCACGACGGTCCAGTGCGGGGAATCGATTTTCATCGCACTCAGCCGCTATTTGTTTCCGGGGGTGACGATTACAAAATCAAAGTTTGGTCATACCAGACTCGCCGCTGCCTATTTACCTTGAATGGTCATTTGGACTACGTTCGAACGGTCTTCTTCCACCACGAACTGCCATGGATCTTGTCATCCTCGGATGATCAAACAATTCGCATATGGAATTGGCAGAATCGGTCATTGAGTATAGACTCCATCTTGCGTGTTTGAGGGATATTGTGTCTGTGTCAATGTTGAATATTGATACTTTTTCTCCAAACAGTTTGCACCATGACCGGTCACAATCACTACACCATGTGTGCCCAATTTCACCCCAAAGAAGATTTGGTTGTCAGTGCTTCTTTGGATCAGAGTGTTCGGGTATGGGACATTTCAGGTCTACGGAAGAAACACTCGGCCCCAACTTCAATGACTTTTGAAGACCAGATGGCTCGTGCAAACAACAACCAAGCGGACATGTTTGGAAATACCGATGCAGTAGTAAAGTTCGTCTTGGAAGGTCACGATCGGGGTGTTAACTGGGTCTCTTTCCACCCTACGTTGCCTTTGATTATCTCTGCAGGTGACGATAGAAACGTCAAGCTTTGGAGGATGAGTGGTGAGTGATTTGGCAAAATCATTGAAGCTGAGAGTTGGGGAGCTAAACAGCTTCTCTTTGTAGAAACCAAGGCATGGGAAGTAGACACTTGTAGGGGACATTTTCAAAACTCCTCAGCATGTCTTTTCCACCCCCACCAGGACCTAATCCTGTCAGTTGGAGAAGACAAAACTATCCGTGTCTGGGATCTGAACAAGAGGACATCAGTTCAATCTTTCAAGAGGGAGAATGACAGGTTTTGGGTTATTGCAGCTCACCCGGAAATCAATCTCTTTGCCGCAGGTCATGACAATGGTGTCATGGTGTTCAAGTTGGAACGGGAGCGACCCGCTTATGCAGTTCATCAAAACCAAATTTTCTTCATCAACAAGGAGAAGCATGTCAGGTCTTACGACTTTAATACAAGCACTGAGAGCCCTTCGATGTTGTCCTTAAAAAAATTAGGATCTGCTTGGGTACCACCAAGGACGTTATCCTACAACCCTGCTGAGCGTGCAATCTTGGTCACGTCTCCTGCAGATGGGGGGACATACGAGCTTATCAACTTGCCAAAGGATGCCTCTGGCGCTGTGGAACCTACTGATACCAGACGTGGGACAGGGAATTCCGCCGTATTCGTTGCTCGTAATAGGTTTGCTGTTTTCAACACGTCGACACAGACGATTGATATCAAGGACTTGTCAAATTCTACAACAAAGTCGATCAAAACACCAACAACGGTGAATGATATCTATTTTGGTGGAACTGGCTGCTTACTCCTATGCTCTCCCGCAGTTGTCATTCTCTATGATATTCAGCAGAAAAAGACGATCGCCGAGTTAGCTGTTGCGGGCGTAAAATATGTTATTTGGTCAAACGATGGTCTTCATGCAGCGCTTCTCTCAAAGCACAATGTCACAATTGTGACAAAGACCTTGGAGCAAGTATCCTCGCTACACGAGACAATCCGTATAAAGAGTGCAACTTGGGATGATGCTGGCGTACTACTTTATTCTACCCTAAACCACATCAAATATACTCTTCTAAACGGGTAAGTTTTATACACCTTGAAGAATACCAAGATAGCGGATGACTAATATAAACAGTGATAACGGAATTATCCGCACGCTGGATGAAACTGTTTACCTTACAAAGGTCAAGGGTAGGAGTGTGTATTGTCTTGACCGACAAGCAAAGCCGAAGGTGCTTACCATTGATCCGACCGAGTATCGGTTCAAAATGGCCTTGGTCAAGAGGAATTACGATGAGATGCTACAGATCATCAAAAACTCTAACCTCGTCGGCCAAAGTATCATTTCATACCTTCAAAAGAAGGGTTATCCAGAAGTAATTTATTTCAATCTGTGTGTCATATGGGAAGAAGGTAGACTGACAAATCCTAGATTGCTCTGCAATTTGTCCAAGACCCTCAAACAAGGTTCGAGCTCGCGATCGAATGTGGAAACCTTGAAGTTGCCGTTGAAATGGCCAAGGAATTGGATCGCCCAAAACTCTGGGGAAGACTTGGCGCCGAGGCACTCAGTCAGGGAAATCATCAAGTCGTCGAAATGGCTTATCAAAAGCTTCGGAGCTTCGATAAGCTATCCTTTTTGTATCTCGTAACTGGAGACAAGGACAAGCTTAACAGAATGGCAAAGATTGCCCAGCATCGAAGTGATTATACCTCCATGTTTCAGAACGCCATTTATCTTGGAGATGTGGAGACTAGGATTCAGATGTTCAAAGAGATTGACTTATGTAAGTTTCTTATCATTAGCTCTTATCTTCACATGCTTATTCAAGTCGGATAGACCCCCTTGCATACGTGACGGCCAAAGCCCATGGCCTAACAGAAGAATGCGAGGCTATTTTGGAAGCAAGCGGTCTTACTGAGGATCAAATTAAACTCCCTGCAATTGGCGCACCTCTTACCCCTGCGAGGACAATCGTTTCTACCCACGAGAAGAACTGGCCTCTACGCGCTGCCTCACAATCATTCTACGAAAAGGCTCTTTTGGGTCAGGTTGAATCCATGACTCTTGAAGACGAACCTGTGACATCTGGTACAAATGGTTTCGGGTTTGAGGATGAGGCCGACGAAAGCAAGAAATTCAGCGGTAATTTGATGGACGTCGACACTGAAGAAGACGGCGGTGGGTGGGATATGGGTGACGAGGATCTTGGTTTGGAGGACCATGGTGATGAGTTTGTCAATGTCGAGAGCGAAATAGCAGGCGTTGGAATGAGCGAGGCGGAGTTGTGGGCAAGGAACTCCCCAATAGCGGCCGATCATGTTGCTGCTGGATCTTTTGAGACTGCAATGCAACTTCTCAACCGCCAGGTAGGCGCTGTCAACTTCGCGCCACTGAAGCCTAGATTCTTGGAAATCTATCAAGCAAGCAAAACTTTCCTTCCAGCTAGCGCTGGCCTGCCTCCCTTAATCAATTACGTTCGAAGAACTGTGGATGAGACCGATCCTCGGAAGATTTTGCCGATAATCCCTAGGGATCTTGAGAGCATTCGCACTTCCGATTTGCAAAAAGGGTTTTCCGCCATGAAGGCGAATAATCTCGAGGAGGGCGTACAAATTTTCCGGAACGTTCTGCACACTTTACTCCTGACTACGGTGCAATCCAAATCTGAGGTAGAGGACGCGAAAAAAATCATCCAGACCGCGACCGAATATATCATTGCCATGTCAATTGAACTGGAACGTAGGAGCCTTGCAAGCGATGAATCTCAGGTCAAACGCAACCTCGAGTTGGCCGCGTACTTTACTAAACCTACACTTGAACTACCGCATCGACAAATCGCCCTCATGTCTGCGATGAAACTTGCCTACCAGAAGAAAAATCATATTTTGGCTGCTCACTTTGCTTCGAGAATTCTAGCGAATAATAGCCAGGGGAAGAACGCGGAAAACGTGAGTAGTTATCATCGAGTGATATTCTATGATTCATTTTTTAACTGACCATTATACATATAGGCACGCAAAATCAAAGCAGCCTCCGAACGTAGCGGCAGTGACGCTGTTGAAATTGAGTACGATCAGTTTGCAGAGTTTGACATTTGTGCTGCATCCTTTACACCCATATATAGTGGCCAGCCATTTGTGCAGGATCCATTTACAGGAGCGAAGTATCATCCAAGATATAAGGGAGAGCTTTGCAGGGTCAGCCAAGTCACTGAGATTGGTGCACCAGCTTCTGGCCTGAGATTGATGGCACAGTAGATTTTTATTATTTGATACGAAAACGTGTTCGTGTGCTTATTCCATGTATGGTTGTGTTAGAAAGTGATGGTTGGGGTGGAACAAAAAAAGAGATTTCTTGTGTTCATTCACACTTCCTACCTGGTGAAGTAACTACGCAACGGGATGGATGGTGGGATTTTCATGTGCGTGCTTGGTGGTAATAGTCGACGATTTGGTGTTTTATTTGTTTCTTGTTTCTTTATGACTATCCATGTACCTTTGATGGTTTACGATTCGCCGTAATGTTTCTGTCTCCACCTCAAAATTTCTTATCTAGTATCAGCCGTTCCGTAGCCACGCGGGTCCCTAAACCTATCTTCTGCTTTTCATGCTGCTATTTCCTTCCAAAACGCACGGATCAAACTAAGCGGTCAGGAAAAGATTTCCCATAATCCCGATATAAAAAGACAGATCAATTTCGTATAATTCTAGTGTAGTATTTGTAGTTATATATACGTGATTATGAATATCTCTTGCACGGATTAAATTCATACCTGAATGTCGAAACTATCTAGGGTTAGGTTATGTAGCACGTATATATTTTTTGTTTTGTTTAATTCATTAATTGCATGCAAAGCACGTATATATGATTTATATAATGAATCAACAAAAGTAAACCAATAAACCAATAAATCAATACAGCGTGTATGTATTTATATAATTGGGCAGGAAATAAGAAGCTGAAAATACAGACTGCAAGCAGGGGCTCAATTTGGTCTAGTCACGAAGCAGAGGTAGTGTGGTCGACGAGCCGGCTCAAGTCGAGCCCTGGCCATGGCTCGAGCCAACTCGACTCGTAGAAGGTTAGGCTCGTGCTCGTGGGAAAAATCTCAAGCTCTTAAGCTAATCTCAAGCTAAATGATGAATGTATTTGTGAAAAATAGGTCCCATTTCTGCTCGATTATAGGTATTCCTGCACATATTAAAAACTCTACCGAAGACCGGACAAAAATAAGTGATAGAATATCTACCCAAAAACTATCCCACTGGGTCCGAATATCTAATAATAGAAACATACAAATAGCTCAAGCTATCTCAAGTCGAGCCGTCAATAGGGCTCGAGCCAACTCGACTCGTGGTCAACCTGGGCTCGTAGAGCTCGAGAGAAAAGCTTAAGGCGAGGACTTGAGACAGCTCGACTCGTCGACCACACTAAGCAGAGGTTCTTCTTGCATGCTTGCCCGAGTATGCACATAACCCTAATTTATTTTCCTAAACCAACGAAACAGACACACAAAGATGCAAATTTGAATGGAACTGTTACCACACATATATTTAACAATAGGATCACATGTAGTAATTACCCGGGGCGGTGATGCGTCTTTGTGTGGAATATAATTATAAGAGTTATGTAGATCTCAATCTGAAGATCTGCCAAGTTAAATAGGCCGGGCGGAGTTTGACAACGTACCCTTAAATTTGAAACGATGTGGTTTTAATTACTTTAAACCTGGCGCTTTCCGTACTCATAATACACGCTGACAGTTAGTAAGATACTTGTATGCAAGATGCCTCTTTCTTCCCGGAAACTTGCCCCATTTATAGGCTCCTGGCATCGATGTTTCCATGCAAATGTTTGTTAACGCCGTGGCTTTACTCTACTTCACTTGCAACTACGTACATCAACAAACACATGTACTTAGCGAGAGACAAACTCGCGTGTAACATAAATGTAGCACATAATGCACTGTTGAAGTCTCTTTATGCAGTTGTGCAATTAAACGGGCGAGTGCATTTCCAGAGGCGATGGATTTAAGGCTGTAAAGACAGTGAAGAGGCGTGGGCCCCCTCTTCTATGTAGGAATGAGCGGGGATTACCAGCTCCTCGTAAACTTACCAATAAGTCATTAGGTATGGAGAGTTTCTCAGCACCACGTGAACACTCTAAAATCTCGATCTTCCTTTCTACCTGCAACGAATGTCGACTCAAGCAGCTACATTTAGTGAGGATTAATCTTGACTCTAGCGAGATCATGAGCATCTGGGATTCTTACTTTAGCAATGATCAGTGAAGCAAATCAAGTATGCTCTAGACCCCCACTACAGGTGTTGACATGTCTCTAATGTAGTATGGTAGGAATCGCGATTTATGAGCACTAAAGTCAGGGGAACTACATGTATCTGCATAAACGAACCTGTGAGACGGCATGTAGTTACGCCCTGGAAACTATCGGCTGTGGTTGCACATCACTGGAGAAACATATGCAGCATGGCTTTTTTGCGTACTCGACCGCATGTGTCTTTTTCTACACCAAAGATCTGGCATTCATGAGTGTATATTGATAGGACATGATCCTAAAGTCTATTTGGGCCTAGATTCTGGAGTGTTGGGAGGAAAGAGATCTGAAGCCACGGCCACGTAGCTACCATGGTATTTATTTGACAACTGGACGATGGTTTTGATTTTGCGCTCTAATTAGCATTCTCGGGTGGAAACGACGGTAATATTTTGCCTTTCCATAATACACACAAGTGCATATATATATCAGCAGTCATGAAAATCTCATTACTAACGTATATATCCATAGTGGCCTGCGAATTTTGTGTTATAGCTAACGAATCAGAATCGGCAGAATCAATTTAAAGAGTTACATTTGATTCGAATGAACTTGTCAAGTTGACTCGTGAAAGATGATTTCGAGGATTACAAGTATACAGTGCTCGCAAGTCATCGCTACATACATACCGCAGTAATTCTTCTTAGCGGACGGCTACACAGACGTCAAAGTTGCCTTTTACAGCGCGTATGAAGGAAGATTAGGGGGGGGCGTTTTCAGGACAAATGACTAGAACAAGTAATTTCAACGTCAATGTGAGTGTCCGCTGAGACGAATTACTGCGGTACTTAGTAGTGATGGTCGGGAGGTACATACGTTGAAAACGATGATTTGATGCGGATTCTTGCTGTTCACCGAGCCTGACTAGATATTGGCAGAAGACACATGTAATAAATGTCTTTTTTAACCATGCCATATGGTGTGTCTCTCAACACTTCATTCAAGCAACCAAGTACGCCTTAACATTCATCACCAATCACTCGCACCTCTCCCGTAGCTTGGCGTTGCCCCAATCGCTTAGCACAACGAACGGACCTCAACTTAAGGACATCACGTTCTAATCATGCAAGACCATTAAATCACAGCCCAATCAATGCTTAATGCTGCCAAGTCAAAACCATGGTTCAAATGGTACTTAGCGATATAACAGCAATTTCCCAAGTTTTCGCCGAACATAGGTGCATTAAATAACACACCACGATATCCTGGTTTCCAACTTTGAGATTAGTCTTTTCGATAGTTACAAATCCGAAGTGGTTCGATATAATCTTCACCTTCCTTTCGCAGCTTTTATGAACTGAGAACTCGAGAATGAGTATCGCTAAGGGGTATTCTGTTAAGGAAACGCCATGGCCCTTGCCGGTCATGATCATGAGCATGATCATACGAGTTAACAGAACGGCCAGAGGAAGTTAAAGAGTTAGAAGTATAAACAAAGAATTATCTTGAATACTATGGGGCGAAATCTATACACTCTTTTATGAGGTACCTTACTTGTCTGAACACAGCTCGATCATGAATTTATCTGGGCCTGAGGGTTCAGTTATGTACCCTGCCAAAACATTGTGTCACACAAACCAAAATACTATATCACCTGGATGGATTTAGACGGTACTATAAAATATAGCCTTTCGAAGAGGGATAGCGCTGTTCTTTATCATCTTATGGAACGGTCACATATACACTTGCTTTAACCTTGCGCGCGTCTCGTGTAACCCGCGAGGATGTACCGATATTGGAATGGAAGTTCTAGGAAGTACACAGGGATCAAGTCGATACATGTAGCTAGCATGCTACTAATGATCATGTAACCACGCTACTGGGGATGCGCGCGAGGGGCCATGAGCTCTTGGTGCCTACAAAGCCACTGCGAGTACATGTGCGCATATCGGCAGCTTCTGGTACGCAAGATAAAAGGAGTATCTGGAGAATAGGGAAGAATAATTACTTATTTGTGCACATAGTTATATAACTCCTAGCTAGGGTCCTGTTGTGGATAAGATTTAGCTGCGCTGGCTGAGGCCAGACCCGCTGCCAAGGATCAATACAAACGGAATCCGGAATGTACTCAAGTCAGATACGCGAGTTCCCGGTACTTTGTTCGACACAAAAGCTTAAGTACCTTCCCTACCAGGGTCCCGTGAGATACTCGAGAACGTGTTTGAAACAGGGCAAAATACTCGACTGGTGTTTATAACTGCATGATACTCCGGATGACATAAGCCAAAAAATGCGGGTGTCTCTTCAACAGTCCACTAGAAAGTTGTATATGCCCTTGTCTGCAAATGTGCCAGTGGGAACGGACTTGTGTTTCTCGCCCTCTTCCTATGTTATTGCCTAAATAACCCTAACCCTGCCACAGTATCTTACTCCCTCTCAACTGGACCTGAGTTTATAACCGGTTTATAACCTTGTTTCTTACTCCCAGTATCTTACCCTTGTATATTTCACGGGACCCTATTCCCTACTGTAAAGCGGGAGTTTCGGAATAATGTTTGGCGCATGGGGCTAGTAATTTGTCGCCAGATCTTTGTAGTTACAGTCCTATAGTACTAGACTTTGCCGGGGGATGTGCCCAAGTACCAACTAAGTATGCAATTAACAAAAGTACTGATTTGCCTGGTTGTGAGATGATTCATGTACATATGATGTTGTTTTAAACCATACCCATCTAGGGCTCAAACTTATGATTCTTAACACTGTAATGAGACTGATTATCTAATCTTCCGTTTTAAATTAGTTGTCTGTGCTCAAAGAAATCAATTACAGTCGCACCTCGCTATGCCGGATGGCCAAGATCCACCAAAACTTGTACGGGATAGCAAATATTCCCAAGAAATTCTGGATAGCAAATTGATTTTGCAGTAGAAAATAGAATTCTCAGGAAATTTCATACGGGACAGCAAGGGATCCGGCATATTGAGTTCCGCCATAGCGAGGTGCAACTTTAATCCAAGGTTTTTAAGCTTTCTCGAATTAGTCTTGCGCTCTGCCGGTAGCCTATAATATATTGTACTCGAGCCCTCCGCATTAAAATACATGAGCTATCCCCTGGGTCGTAACAGCCGATATTGTGGTCCTTTTGGACCAATATTTTCTTCCGGCTTTTTCACCTAGAGGTGCGCCAAGCTCTTCCAACAAAGATTCGACTGCACAGGGACGTTCGGGGAGGCCTCTTTTCTTTTGAGCCATCTGCAATAAGCATAGCGTCCGTGACTGTTGAGATATTTCGAATTTCCACCGTTGTTGTAGGAACTTTATTACGACCGAAGGGATAGATGCGCTGATGATAAGTACATGTACATACATCTACTCTAGCTATAGTCACTTTCATAATAAGTAGTACTTGGAAGCAGTATAGCGCGCGCCAAATCAGGATAATTCAGGTACGGATATAGCACTCCAATACCCAGTAAAAAATTACCATGTATCCCTGCGACGGTGCGAGCTACATTTAATATTTCTTTGTGAGTGGTGGCGACAGTAGGGTACCAGCAGCTTCAAGATGTCATCCATGTAAAGATCTTTGAATTGACGATAATTAAGCGCTCGACGAGTTTCCCCGCGGCCGGCCTATGATTCCTGTAGTAGAGAAACCACATATTGTATGTAGTAGTAGGTACATCCTATCGGTCGACCAGGAGTATGTAGGATCTGGCACGAAATGAGCAGGGCCTATCGGGAAGCGGGGTTCAAAAACATAGGGAGTCCTATGTTTCAAGGCCCAGTTAAAGTTATCCGAAACCAGAGACAAAGCATGGGAAGATTTCCTGTACTACGTACAGTCTAGGATAAGGGCTACAGTGGCGTAAATTAAGAGCCTGAATGGCACATACTATACTTTGGCGACATTACTCTGAACAAGGATGAGAAAGCTAGATGTGTTTCGCCCTTACAGGGGTATGTACATGTATCCAGCGCGTGTGAAGCCGCAGCCCTAGATTTTAATTATTCGTTGTCGATCGATTTTATTCTCTATATATATGTGATCCAAACAGTCAGCAAAATTAAGTATGCATTCTTTAAGACCCAGATCTAGAGTGGAGAGATCTAAATACTTACATGTACGTATATGTACATGTAGTTATGGTCCAAAAGATATTCGACATCTTATGTGTTTTTCGAATTCAGAAATGACCTCCAAACCTTTAACTAAAATGCATACTTCCGCGATGGCAGCCCAGCCTTGAAAATGCGTACTTGGATGTACCTGCATAAATCCGTTTCAAGGGAGCTTTACGGGAAGTCTGCAACAATACATATACATTCTAATTACATGTATGTGCATGGTAGCATTGCGACTTTATTTCTTTATGTTCATATACCCATATATACAAGTTTTATAAGATAGGACGCAAGAGATTCAATTGCAGGCCTCTTGCCAATTGAATTGCATATTGAAGGTTCGTGAATTCACCCTAAACCACATTGGAACACCACATATTCTCATTTTGTTAACCCAAGAGCTAGAGCCACAATTCTAGCCAGATACATACATGTACATGTACATGTACTTCACAAACAAAGCTAGCGATATGACAGGGAGGAGCCACTCCATGTTTCATCATGTAACCGGCCTCTAATAGTAAGTACATGTAGCCTTAGGGTAATATTTCTTCCACTACTACTACTACCAGCATCATCAACAACACCCATGCCTCTTCTTCTTCTTCTTCTTCTTCTTCTTCTTCTTCCTCATCCTCTTATATAAACCCGCCACCATCGGTTCTGTGAACTAAACCTTCTTTCCATGACAGTTGTCGTTGATTGAAAGTTGATCAGCTGTCTACCACGCTCTTTACTGCCTACCACACTCTTTACTGTATCTCGTTTTATTCACCACACTCCTTTCTAATTGCTGGGCAAATAACTCTTTCTATTTTTTTTCGAGTTGGAAACCTCCCTTAAAAGTCCAGTTCCCTCACTCCATAAACATCAAACACACACTCTATCTCGGAAACAAAATGATGTCTGGAATATCTTCTGTGTCGCTGGCTACCTCTGCCCTTCTCGCTATCTCATGCTTCGTCCCGGGGACGTCTGCTTTTTGGCGCCTACCCTGCCTTAACCCACTTGTAATCGAACGCGCTGACCCTATCGTAAATCCTGGGGGAGTTGCTGGTCATCTACATACCATCATGGGAGGAAACGGATTTAATTTTACAATGGATTACGATACTGCTCGTGGCTCCACATGCTCCTCTTGTACAGTCACCGATGATTTCAGTAACTACTGGATTCCTTCACTTTTCTAGTAAGTTTTAGTCAACCTGTGCTGCTTCAAATGCTAATGAAATTTGTTTTAGTCGAGCTCAAAACGGCACTTTTACCCCTGTTTCGCAGATTGGAGGAGCCACAATTTATTACTTGTATGTAATAATTGTTTCCTTATTGTATCAATTCAACTTTATATACTAATTCATATATGTTTAGGCAACGCAGAGCAAACGACAGTGAGAAGCTTTTTGCTTTCCCCCCAGGCTTTCGTATGCTTGCTGGAAACCCCATGCTCCGGAACTACACAGATGTTCCAGAACAACAAGCCATCAGCTATTCTTGTTTGGATTATTCCGGCGGTGGCGGGCCTGAAACCGGAGGCTTCCCCCAGAGGAACTGCGCTAAGTATGTCGTTTCCTTCTTTCCTTTATCCTTGGCTTTTTTATATACTGATTTAATAGTGGATATCGTCTTCAAGTTTTTTTCCCTAGTTGCTGGGACGGGGAAAACCTGGATTCCCCAGATCACAAGTCCCACATGGCTTACCCGGATGGCGTTACTGGCGGGACTTGTCCCCCTACTCATCCCATAAGATTTATCTCAATTTTCTATGAAGTTATATACGAAACCAATAAGTTTAGTGACCAGTGGTACGATTCCACAGCACCATTTGTACTTTCTAACGGTGATCCAACTGGTTACGGTGAGATATCTATCTACGAAGGCGTTCTCTAATAACACACACTAATCGTATTCTCCAGGACTTCATGGTGATTTTGTCAACGGCTGGAATGTTGATGTTCTTCAAAGCGCTATCGATGATTGCAATAGTGAGAGCGGAGTCATAGAAGAATGTCCTCATTTCAAGTACTTTGACACTGTAAAGGTCCAGAACTGCTACATCCCTCCAAGAATTGATGAACCTACAGAAGGATTACTGCAAAAGCTCCCTGGTTGTAATCCAGTACAAGAGGGGCCTGAAAACGCTACCCCGCAAACTGACTGCGGTGCCCCAACTGAAATTGGCTCTCCTAAATCCTATGGTACAGATGTATCAAGCAGAGGATGGAGTTATCTCGACTGTGTCATGTATACAACCCCACCACCCTTACAAAGTTTATTCATTGTCTAATTAACTCTTAACTCTAGGGATGATCTTGATAATCGCACATTTCCCATCCGCGGAACTAACAGTACAATGACCAATGAAATGTGTATTGATTACTGTGTTAGTAAAGGTGCCATTTATGCTGGTACGCAGTATGGAGAAGAATGTTACTGTGGAACCAATGCTCCTCCTGCGGATCGTATGGGATTTGCTAAGTGTGGCATGCCATGCGCTGGTAATTCCACCCAAGTTTGTGGTGACGCTGCAAAGTTGTCGGTATATACAAAGAACGTCTCTCCCATTGCAGGTTCAGGGGTCCAATCCGTCCCTGCCATGTCCAGCTCATCCGCAACCATCGCTACCACTAATTCCAGCCCGCCCAGCAGTTTTATTACTTCTAGCTCTAGCTCCACAGTAACCCCTACAAGTACTTCATTAAGCTTTGCTGTATTTGGTCTCACGGACACCGTCACCGTCTCGAAGGCGTTATCTACCACTACTACTATCAACCGATCTTCTACTACCACATCTGTTGTCGGAACAGCATCTGACTCTGGAGCTACGATTACGAGCCTACCCTCTGCTATTCCATCCGAGATCCTTACTGGTTGGGTCTCAAAAGGATGTTGGGTTGATCCTGTCAACCCCCGTGCTCTAGAAACATGGGGGTATTGGGGTGAGAAAATTACCACATCTGGCTGCATCAATTGGTGTGACTCGAAAGGATTCATATATGCTGGAACCGAATACGCCGGACAATGCTTTTGCTCCAACGACTTCGCAGCCCCTGGTAGGCAAGCCCAGCCAGAATCTGATTGTAATATGCCTTGTGAGGGCAATCCCGCAGAGATTTGCGGCGGAAGTGCCAGACTAAGTCTTTTTCAGAAGAGTAGCGGTAGTGTAAAACGAGAGCCTATCTCTTATCGCGGTAATCGCCGTTATAGAGGTTAAAGGAACCTGTATATCACGGAGTATGAGCAAGTACATGAGTCTCTAAATCTCTATTTCCTACTTCTGTATATACCCACTTGCATTTTGTTTTCGCTATATATCTTTAGTCTAGGTTCACCGAACACCTATACAAAGCGTCTATGTAGCAGAACCTCATTATTCATTATCCTTTACATACATGTATCTCTTAGTGCAAGCCGCGGAAGCAATTATAAACTACATGTACTTAAAAATAACAATGAGAGAGGGATGTTAGGTTTTGTTGTAATTTAGCCTTGTCCTAATGTGATGTTCAAATCCAAATTCCCCGTTATTACCTATATCTAATGTCATTCGCGAAAGGCCCAGTAAATCAATCGATCGAATCAAAATGCATGACATTAGTGTACGTTATAGATAGAAGCCTGCATACATACTAAATGAATCCGGCATTTTAGTATGTCAGATATTATCATAGCCTCCGGGCTGCACACAATTATTAATCAACTAACCAATCAATCAATCAAATAAATATGGCTCTGGAAACTACTGACTAGTTCAAATTGCCATAACTGTAAGGTTGCATGTAATTATTAATGAATTAAACAAAAAAAAAAAAAAAGGTTGCATGCAATTAAAAAAAAAACTGACTAGTCCGAGTGACATCTTATGATTTTACGTACCTACCAATAAATTTAAAGCATTTCAAGCGCAGGGATAAGTCTATTCCAGAGAGCTGTTATAGATCCACAAAACTTGCCTTGGAGCGTAATTGTATTTTTTGGGTATTTGGTTTTCCTTACTGTGCTTATCAGGGGACATTCATATTGGTTTATTTATGTACTCTATCAGGGAGGCCTAGAAGATGGATCATGATTGAGGAACTTTTCCCGAGCTTGGAAGAGACCTAGTATATTTAAGCGGGCATATAGATACTATGTTATAATCTTGAGGGGGGTTTTTTGTACCCAGATACAACCTGATATCTTCGAAATCTCTATTTTGGGCATTAAGAAGGGGTTGCCGTCTCTTTTTATTTCAAGTTGCGGCAGGCGGTCGGAGCCGATACTTGTGTGAGTAATTGTTAAATCTTCTTTATAGGCATAAAGCTTTCTCATAGGTTAGTATATTTTATCACCGGGGGGGGGGCCGGTGGGGTACATACATGTACTAATGCACATATAAAAGATGATTACTACACTTGCGTGCCCATTAGATTCTAGTTATTTAAGACACTTGTTGAGGGTTGAATTTAGTGCACTTGACCTATTCTAACATGTTCTAGATATATTGACCAGCTTATATGCATGCAGTGTGTAGAGTACTCTAGAGTACCACAAAACCCCAGGATCGATAACGAATAGAACTAGACTGCAAAGCTGCACTCTTCGAGAGACCCTTGGCTAAGTGGGGGTTGAGGCTCAACGCCCATTCGACCAATCTAAAGTGCAATAAATAGCCCCAGAGATTTTGACGCAAAGTGTTGACACGGCTTGGCATCAGGATTTGGTGCATTCCAATCATTTCCTCACCTAACCCTGACAGATCCCGGCCTAGATGGATCACCCAATCATTCCTCAACGCCCCTCTCCACCCCCAGAAGTCAACTCCCTCTCATGTGTGAAAAAAACAAAACCCAATCAATCGGCCATGGTCCAACGGTTCGCCCGGCCGTACATAGATGAAAAACAAAAATAAAGTACTGTAGCGGTAGATTCTCCGTTGCCGGTGACTAAACACGCGGTGTCTAACCGGTTAACAAGCTCAAGTCCTCTACCGCTGGATGAGTTGCGGTACAGTGCCGGGAGATGAGACTTGAGGAGCTGCCGCAGTGCGCCAAGAGATACCGGGGGTGTATGTCAACCATATGTCTTTGAGTGGAACGAGCACGTCTCGGAAGCTTCTTCATGATGTGAGAGATTACCCCGTTGGGAAGTATTATACGGTGCAGATTCTGGACTCACTTTCTTCATCAGATGCTCTGTATCCAAGGATATACCCTGATCTGCATTCGGTGCATTTTCATATGTATCCGATTCCACTTTACACATTTCTCGTATAACCAAAGCTTCCTGGTCACGTTTTAGTCGTAGATAACAAGGTGTAAAAGCCATTTATAAATTCACCAGGTGGGTCGAGTACTAGAGGCACGTGGTACGTAAGTAAGTAAGGCGATAGATGGTGGTACCATACAACCAAATATTATGATGTTACCGTACCGCCAGTTAGCTAGCTGCCCGTCAGACTTACCTAGAGAAAGTATGTAGGAGAAGTAAAGTAATTGATCGTGTTCTTGTTCTAGCTAAGGGGGAATGCCCCGTATTTATACTAATGAAAGGTAGTACAAAAGAAATACAATGAGTCATAGACGTGTGAGTAATAGGATGACTAATAGGAAAGTGAGTCATACGCCGATGACAAATACTATAATGAAATGATGAGAATCTTCCAGAACTATGAAACGTGTCGAGCGTCCTATTTCAAGACTTCCCCTCGTGAGCCACAGTGAATAGTAGAAGAAAATAAAACATGTTTGCCTTTATCCAATCCTTTAGTAAGTAAATCCGCCACGTTCTCGTTCGTAGAAATATATTCCAGTTCAAATAATTCATCCTCAAACCGTTCCCGAACAAAATGAAAATGTACGTCAATATGTTTAGACCTTTTATGAAAGACAGGATTTTTAACCAAGGAGAGAGAACCGTTGTTATCGCCTCGAAGAATGAAAGAGAGATTTGGTTTTCGTTCCAGCTCGTGGATTGCATTCCTTAACCAGATCAGTTGTCGACTGGTGTCCGAGAGGGCCATGTATTCCGCTTCAGTTGTAGAAGTGGCGACAGATCGTTGCTTATAAGAGCGCCAGGAGATGAGGGCTTCCCCTAGCATGAAGCAGTGGCCGGTGAATGAACGGCGATCGTCGATGTCGGAGGCATAGCTTGCGTCGCTATAGCCGATGAGTGCAGTTGGTCGCGTTTTGGCGTAAAAGAGTGACCAATCGAGGGTACCTTTGAGATAACGGAGGACGCGATGGACTGCAGCTAGATGAGCCTTAGTGGGACAGGAAGAAAATTGCGAGAGCATGGTGACGGTGTAGGCGAGGTCGGGTCTAGTGCCGATGACTGCGTACATGAGTGAACCAATTATCGACTGATAAGTTGTTGGATCGTCGATTTTTTCAGCTTCCGTTCCTTTTTGGAGGTGGACGTTGTTGTCGATAGGTGTTGCCACAGGTCTTGATTCGTCGAAGCCGTATTTGATAAGTACACGCTTGAGATAGGCTTCCTGTGATAGGATTATGCCTGTTTTTGTGTGGATCAAGTGGATTCCGAGTGCCCAGTTGGCTGTGCCAGTTTCCGTCATTTCGAATTCAGAGTGGAGGAGGAGGCTGACGCGGTTTTTGCGTTCAACGGACCAGTAGAAGATGAGGATATCGTCTACGTATATTGCTATGACAACTTCCCCTGTTTTGTGTATGAAGACACAAGGGTCGAAGTCTGCTTTTCTGAATCCGATTTTGATTAGCGCTTTTGAGAGGCGGGCATACCATTCCCTTGATGATTGTTTGAGGCCGTAGATGCATTTGATTAGTTTGCATGCTTTGCCGAGAGTGGGGTAGCCTGGAGGAGATTTCATGTAGATTTCTTCCTTAAGTTCGCCGTATAGAAATGCGCTTGTGACGTCCATCTGATCGCATTGACCGCCGGTTTGAAGGCAGCGAGCGAGGAGTAGTCTGATGGATTCGTATCGGGTGACGGGGGCATAGGTTTGATCGAAATCTTGACCAGGTACCTGTGAGAAGCCTTTTGCGACTAGTCGGGCTTTGTACCGTATGGGGTTGCCATCGGGCCCGAGTTTGATTTTGTATACCCATTTGCAGTCAACCAGTTTGCGGTGATCCGGTGTGTTGACCAGATTCCATGTGTTATTCCTTGCGAGTGAGTCGAGTTCAACTTTCATGGCATTCTGCCATTTTTCGGAGTCGGGACTGTTGATTGCTTGGTGGTAGTTTGTTGGTTCTGTTAGGGTAGTGTCATGCTGAATGTTGTGTCCGTATCTGACCGGAGGTTTCCGTTCCCGTGCTGGGTTACGTCTCGGTTGATCAGTATCTGTTTCATTATCATCATGCGGGGTACGTTCAGTGGCGGGCCTCGTATAGCCGGCCCCCACTATACTTGCGTGGTCTTCCGAATCAGTGTCGGAGTAATGTTCCATGGTTTCGCGCATTATCTGTTGGTTGATCATGTCGTCGTCGCTTGGGTCGTCGTCGTATGTCCTACGTTGTTTTGGTGTTGACGGACGTGAGGGTGGTTCTTGTTTGATCTCGATTTGTTTTGGTTTAGGGGGTGTATCGGTTTTTGTTTTGGCTTCGATTTCTTCCCCTACGGATGTACCTTTAAACCTAAAATGACGAGAGAGAACTACTTTCCTTTGTGATGGTATGTAGACGCGACAGATTTTTTCAGAGTCTCCGTATCCGCAGAATTGTCCCGTTATGGCCCTTGCATCCAGTTTTGTTCCAGCTGGTCGTGCTTCGACGGGTATGTGTATGAACATGGTTTCACTGGCACCTAAGGATCGGAGATGCCCAATAAAGGGTTTCTTTCCGGTAAGTGCTTCGTATGGTGTCATATTCGGGAGTGATTTGTGCGGGAGGCGATTTTTGACGTGTACCATGGTGTTGATCGCTTCTGCCCATAGATTTTTTGGGAGATTGTGGTCGAGCAAGGCGGATCGTGCCATTGTTGCTATAGTTCTATTAAAGCGTTCTGCTGTTCCATTTGACTCATGGGAGTAAGGTACAGTGAATTCATGCTTTATGCCTTTAGAGGCGAAAAATTGTTGAAGGTCATTGGAGATGTACTCGCCACCGTTGTCGCTTCGAAACCGTTTAACCGTTTTGTCCAATTGATTTTCCATGTATGCGATGTATCGTTCTGTGGCAGCTGCTGCATCTGACTTCTTTTTGAGGAAGTAGAGGTGAGCGTACCTGGAGTAATCGTCGATGAAAGTGATATAGTAACTGAAACCGCCCAGAGAAGGAGTCGAGAACTTGCCGCTCAGATCTGAGTGTATTAGTTCCAGTGGTTGTTTGGATTGTGGTTCGGTGAGGGGAGCGAGGTGAGACTTGGTTGATTTAGCGAGTTCACATGTATTGCATGTTTCCATGTGACCAGATGTGGGGAGAGACTTGGGGTCGGCGACCATGGTGCGAAGCCGTGAGAGCGAGGAAGCGGGGAGATGTCCGAGCCGTTGGTGCCAGTCATAGAAGCTGGTGGCGGCAGAGAGGTGTGCGCAGGGTTCCTTGGTTTCAAAAATATATAGACCAGTACTATTTGCGTTAGCGATCCCGATGATTTCCTTGCTATTCGGTTTGTAGATGGTGAAGCCGTCTTCCGTCCCAATTGTTGTGAATCCCTTTTTAGCGATGCAAGACCAAGACATCAGGTTGGTATTGCCTAATTCGGGGATCAAGAATACATTCTGCAGAGTGATCAGGCCATGTGATCCGTTGATGGTGACGTTGCCAATTCCGGTTATCTGGAGTTTGCGACCTCCTCCAACAGTAACTGTTCCAGTATGGGGAGTCGGGTCGGTAACCAGCGTTCCGGTCATGTGGTTGGTTGCACCAGGGTCGAAGATCCATGCCTTGTTATCGGTGGTGGAAGGTCCTGCAATGAAGCCAAAGTAATCTTCCATGGTAATATCCGAGGTGTCATCTGAGAAGTTGGTGAAGTCGAAGTCAACCGGCATTGTGAATACATCGGTTTCTTCGAGTGCGGGAAGGCCAGAAAGATCGGGGATCCAAGAGAGGTCAAGTTTTGTGTGAAATGCAGTACCGGACGCGATGTTGAGATTGCCAGATGCAGCGGACTTCTCCTTGTCTCTGAAAGCTTTGAGTTTCCGGCAATTTTTGTGCGTGTGGCCTTTTGCATATTCTCCATTCTTGGTGCACCAGGTGCATGTGACGTCCCGATTTCCTGTTTCGTTGTTACGTGGCCTCCTGACTCTGTTGCTGTTTCCATGTCCTGGGTTTCCTCGCCTGATTGTGTAGGCTTCTCCAGCCGCCTGTCCATCGTTGTTGCGCCGTGAGTCCAGATCCAACAGCTTTTCGTAGACGTCATCGAAGGTGACGTTGGGCTTGGTTTGCAGGTTGTCAACGACTGATTCGAGGGATTCGTGCCGGAGTGAGAGGAGTAGGAAGGATGCCTTCGCTTCTGAGACAGATGCGAGTTGGTGAAGGTGGTAACCGAGTGGGTCTTTGGTCTTGTCCGTAGAGTTACTAGTTCTAGTGAGGAGAGATGACCAAAGAGTGTTGAACTGGGTTAGATGTTCCTTGATACCCTTGTCGGGTGTGTACTGTAGTGTGACGACATTGGCGAGGAGCGAGTGGAGGGAGGCGACGGTTTTCCGATCGAATCTGTCCTCGAGTTGAGTCCAGAGGTGGTGAGCGGTGTCGGCCGGTGTCAGCGTGAGAATAACTTCAAATTCGATGTTAGATTGGAGGAATACGACCGCGAGGTTATCCTTTTTGTCCCAATCGCTGATTTCTTCGGCATTGTCAGAGGTTTCTTCTTCGTCTTCTTCAGCCTCAGCTGTGCTTCCTGATGCTTGTGGTGCCGTGGTAGGTACAGTAGTGGTGGTGGTTGTCAACACGGGACGCTTGCTCGAACCATTGACCAAGTTCCACAGATCGTGAACTTTCAACATGCGGGTAGCAAGGTCCCTCCATACAGTGTAATGGCCTTGACCATCCAGCTTGCATGGGAGTGCGGGAATTTTGATGCTCCTCTCAGACATGATTGAAAGTGAAACGAGAAAGTGTACTTTGTGGTAAAAATGGTGAAGAGTGTATAAGCGTGAGTGGTCTCCGGGCTCATAACCTAGAGAAAGTATTTAGGAGAAGTAAAGTAATTGATCGTGTTCTTGTTCTAGCTAAGGGGGAATGCCCCGTATTTATACTAATGAAAGGTAGTACAAAAGAAATACAATGAGTCATAGACGTGTGAGTAATAGGATGACTAATAGGAAAGTGAGTCATACGCCGATGACA